AATATTCAGACAAATATGTGAACTTCCCCATATCAACACTTTCTTAAGGGTTTGTTTGTTTATTTTTAGAGAAAGGGGAAAGGAGGGGGAAAAAGAGGGAGAGAAACACCACAGTGTGAGAGAAACATCAGTCAGTTGCCTTTTGCACGCCCCCAACAGGGGACCTGGCCCACAACCCAGGCACGTGCTCTGACCGGGAATCACCCAGCGACCTTTCACTTTACAGGATGATGCACAACCCCCTGAGCCATGCCGTTCAGGGTCCACTACCACCTTTTATAGACATGTTTCCTCAGAGAAGAGGGATGGCACATAGCAGGGGCTACGCACCATTATTTGGCCATAACTTGGCCACTCCTAATAGCCCCCGCTTAAAGCTCATTGCTCACCTCTGCCATTTGGGCAGCCATTACTGAAGACCATTTGCTGTTGTGTAACACCATAAAGAAAAAAGTAGATTCTGTGTGGTCTTAACTTCATCAGTGAGGTAGAAATTGGAACAAGTTTTCCAAGTTGTATTGATGCCCTTGAGGGTCTGATTTTGTACTATTTTGAACAATAGAAGTACAGAGTTTTAAAACTTTGTGTTTTCCTGGTTATGCCTAAACAGCTGTCATCTGTCCGACTTTGTGGAGTAAAAACTATAGTCCCAACATGGAAGCATAAGAGGGTGGAAAAAACCCAGCCGGCTCTCCCTTTTAGCAGAGATTTAGCTGGAATAGGCTACCCCTTGTTTTACAGCTCAGGCTGAGTCTTTGATGCTTTCACACCTCATGCAAACAGGTTTTAGGCCCTAGGAAATACATGCCTGTTGGATTAAAAATATTGTTAAATGACAGAAGCTTCAAAAAAAAATATTGTCATGTGTTTCTTAACAATGGATACGTTTTGAGAAATGCATTAGGTTACTTCATCATCATGGGAACACCATAGAGTGCACTTACACAAACCTAAATGACAGAGCCTACAACACACCTAGCCCATAAGCCTACTACTGCTCCTAGGCCACAAACCTGTATAGCATTCTACTGTGCTGAATAGTGTAGGCAACTGTAGTACAATGGTAAGAATATGTGTATCTAAACATAGAAAAGATACAGTAAAAATACAGTATAAAAGAGAAATGATACACCTGGATAGGGCACTTACCACGAATGGAGCTTACAGGACTGAAAAATTAGCGCTAAGTCAGTGAGTGAGTGGAAAGTGAATGTGAAGGCCTGGGGCACTACGGTGATGTACTGCGCTAGGACTTGGACGGACCACGGTGCACGGTGATAAGAATTTTTCAGCTCCAGTATCATCTTTTGGAACCATCCTCATATATCAGTTTGTTGTTGACGGAAACTTCATTATGAGGCACGTAACTGTCATTTTTTGTTAATTTTATTGCATGTTGTAGATTTCCTTGAGGTTAGCTTTGGTACTTGTTTTAAAGTTGTATATGAGGACTTTTAAAATAAATGCTTCGAATTCAACCAAGGTAGGGCTGTCACATCTTGGGTTCCCTGTTGCTTGGGATTCATCCCATCTGAGGAAGCTGGACTTCGGAGATTTTAGTCAAAGGTGGTTTGGGACGTGAACTCACAATGGTTATATTTCTCAACTCTGTCGGTGCTTTTGCATTTCCGAGCCAGAAAAGGAAGTGAAGAATCAAAACATGAAAGGTACATTCAGGAGATAAAGCTAAAAATAGGACTAGCAACTAGTATACTATATACATACCAAAAACCAGCTGTACACTTTAATAAAATATTGCTATTTATGTTAACTTTAGACTTCATTAATAATAGAACCTTCTTTAATGTATTTCAGTTAGAACCTAGACTGACATTTCAGGAAGCTGTGTTATTAAAAGAATTATGAATGGGGATTAAATAGAAGAGGAAATTAAACGAATAAAAGTCTAGAAGTTCACTCAGAGGTATTAGCATTGAAATTGTTGGTGGAGAGGAATTTCTAAATGAGTTGAGGACATAAATAGTTTCTAATAGGGAAATCATTTGAAGAACAAACGTTACAGGGTCTTTAAGGAAAAAATGCCCCAAACACTTGACTTTAGAATAAAAAGCTACAGTCGTTTAATACAGAAACAACAAGGCTTGAGATCTATTTATGGAAACAGATTGAACTTTATATTTTGTTAGGCTGACTAGGAAAAATAATACAAAAGACAGTAAGACCATTGATTTTTTTTTTTTTTTCCTTAATTTGACTTTTTTTCACTCCTGAGAATTTTGAGTTTTTGGAGATCACAAGATGATCCCTGTGAGACAAGATTCTGCTCCCTCCTTGGCAGCCAAATGAAAGGGCTTCCAGGACACTGTGCACGCTCTCCACCTCCCATCTCACTGGCTGCTTGCCCTTTTTTGGGGGGGGGCGGGGAGCTTATTCTTTGCCCCAGAGTAGTTTACTCAGTCCCTCTTTTTTTTTTCTCCACTCACTCCTTAGGTGATCCTCTCCTTAAATAGCTTTACCTAACAGTTGTACCCTGGGAAGCCCCCTATTAATATCTCCATCCTGGATCTCTTCTTAGTTCCATCTTTGTGAATCAACTCAGTTATCAACTTGGATGTTCAAAAGGTATTCAGGCTTAATGTATTCAATTGTACTCTTTAAAAAATATATTTATTACTAATTTTAGAGAGAGAGAGGAAGGAAGAGAGAAAGAAACATCAGTTTGTTGTTCCACTTATTTATATATTCATTGGTTGCTTCCTGTATGTTCCCTGACCGGAGATCAAGTGCACAGCCTTGGCATATCGGGACGTTGCTCCAACCAGCTGAGCAGCCTGGCCAGGGCTCAGTCGCACTCTTGATTTTCTCCACATCAACTCCTTGTGCCCTTCCCCAGGTCAAGAAATTCCTTGGCAAAAAATCTTCAGCTTTTCTCTCACACTTTATATCTGATACACCAGAAAATGCTTAGCTTAGTTAGGCTCTCCCTTCAGAATGTTCCCAGAGAGTTCCTGCCTCTTCCATTTCTTCTCTCCTGTTGTCATAACGTAAGTGTGACTGTTTCCCTTTAGCCTCCACAACTCCAACTAGAGATTTATGTTAACCTGACAGGTGAAAAATGATTTCACTGGTTTCAATGTGGATTTCTCTGATGGAGGGTGAATGTCTTTTGGTATGTTTAAGGACTGTTGGCATTTTTTTCTTTTGTTAACTATGTTCATGTCATTTGCTCATTTTTTTTTCTTCTAGGGATGATGGACATTTGTTAGCAATTTTGTAGCTTTCTATGTATTAGGGAGGTCAGCCCTTTCTTTTCTGTGTAATATGAGTTGCAAATATTCCCTTTTTTGCATTTTTTTCTTTTTGTCTTGACCGATCAAAATTTCTTAGTTGAAGGATACGTATTTAACTTAACAGGTGCAGCCAGATTGCCTTTCAGGAACACTGTATTACTTAATATACCCCCATATTTTATGTGCTTCTTTCTCTTCCATTCTTCCCCACTTGGTTTTTAATTAAACATTTTTTAATCTTACAATTAGCACAAACACTTGAATTTTTATCTCCAGAGTTTTTGTGAAATTGAGAATAATTTTAAATATAGTGTATTTTTCAAAGATATCCATATGCTTTATTTTAAAAATTATTTTTTACTGTTCTTTCTGAATTCAGATCCATTGTTAAGTATGCTGCAGGTTTAACTGTTAAAAAATGTCTTTTCCATAAAAGTGGGTTTTTTATTGTTAATCTCACAAACTTAAATAAATTTAAGAACTATTCCTTAGGAACATAGTATATATAGTTGTTTTCCATTGCCAGCCTTGGAGTGATTTTGTTGTAGTTTGATGACCCTTTCTCGTATTTTGACCCTATGATCTAGCACCCTTTGTATATATTTTTTTGTAAGCTCCATTGAAGCATGGACAATATATTGTAGTTATAAAGAGCCTCAACTTCATATGGTACCAAAAGCACTCTAATTCCTCCTGATTTTCTGCATAGCAATTATACTGTCATTTTTATTATTTAATAACAGGCAATCTAGAAATCATTTTTGTGAATTTGAAAGTACATTGTTAACTTTTGGTAGCAGCTTATTTTTCTAATTATATAGATTGGTGTGTGTATATTTATATGTGTTTTCTTATGGACACTAATTGAGCAGTGAGAAATTATGAGTTGGATTCATTGGACACAAGGGTGAAGGCTCTAGGATTAAAATTTGACTTTGGCTCAAACAAAAACCTGTACACACATATGTTCATAGTGTCATTATTAATAATAGCTAAAAAGTGGAAACAACGCACATGTTCATCAGCTGATGGATGGATGAACAAAATATGGTAATTTATGCAATAAATACTATTTGGCAATAAGAGGAATGAAGTATTAATACATGCTATAACGTGCATAAACCTTGGGAACATTATGTTTAATAAAAGAAGCCAGTTACAAAAGGCCATGCATTGTGTGAGACCACTTACATCAAGTGCCCCAAGTAGGCAAATCCCTAGAGACAGAAGTAGATTGAGTAGTGGTTGTAAGGGGCTTGGGAGATGGGAGTGATGAGTAGATGCTAATGGGTTTGAGTTCTTCTGGGGGTGATGAAAATGTTCTGGAATTGGTAGTTGTGAAGGCTGCACAACTCGGAATACAAAAGCCTACTAAAAACCAGTTGCATACTTTAAAAGGTGAATTTTATGGTACACATATTAATATCTCAGTAAAACTGTTATAAAAGTTGGTCTCAGAAAATGGATGTATGTATATTGTAAATTTAATGTGAGAGAGTAACAAATGAAAATAAATTGACAGAAACTCTTCAGTCTTCTGTAATAGTGTAAGCAAAGGATGGTATGATTTGCAGGGGAGAGAAGGATAAACCGGAATTTACTCTTAAGCACATAGTGGGGTTAAGAGTTAAAATACTTCTGGCAAATTAATATTGGGTAATGGTATGTTTCGAGAAATACTTAAAGTTTTATATTAAACAGTGATGTTCTTTACATGGGTTGTTTTTAATGCACAATTTCTTTAAATAGGTCAGTCTTATGAAATTCGGATGCTGGATAATCGGAAAATGGGAGATATGCCTGAAATCACTGGAAAATTGGTAAAGGTAAGGTCAATAAAAAGTTTATTTATTTTAACTTTAAAAAGTAATGACTACTTTAAAGCCCCTAATTTTTGAGGTAATGTGAAAGTCCTTTGGAAAGGTAACAGAAAAATTACTTGGAGCTATGTGGGCAAAGACCCACCACCACTACAAAAACTAATTTTCTCTTTAAAGGTAAAGGATAATGTGAGAAAAATCTGTTAAAATAAAAAGTCCTTTATTTCGCCTCTTAAAATTTCTGTAAATAAAATTTGAAATCTGTTCATCCTACTGATGTATCTCAATGAAGAAGTCAGTCGTTCCAGGTATAGGAAGTATAGCCATTGGCCAGCTAAGTCACTGCTTTTAGGATATATCTACAGAACTGTCCCCTCCCCTCCCATTGTCATGCAAGGTGGGTCCTTCTAGCCTCTACCTATCATGCATCACAGTTTATTATAAATTCCATAGCATTACAGGGCCTGGGTTATGGAAGAAGCTTATGTAATTAGGAAAAGGCAAAATTTCAGGGTGGTTAAATGTTAGCAAAAAAGAAGCAGGCATGAGTTCTCTTGATGCTTCCATCTCCCCACAGAGAGGCATGTCAGGTGCTGCTGGGCCCTTAGTAAGAAGAGACATTCCATTGGAAAGATTCTGCCCTCTGGATCTGCCTTTTTGGAGGGCGAGCATGTGACAGGCAGCCTTGGTAGGGCAAGTGAATACTGATACTAATGCTAACAAGTTTGGGGTATTTAGGTAAGCCAGCTGCTCAGCACCTGGATGCCTCAGAGTGGTCAGGATATTTAAGTACACCCATTCCTGGGGCGAGAAGCCCTCCATCCTGTGAGAGGTTGAGGGAAAAGATAAAGGGTCAGGTCCCCACTGGATCATTTTCTTGCCAACTCGGAGTGAGCTCCAACTTTCTCCTTCTGACTCAGGGACTCCCTGCATACTGGGATCAGAAGGCTAGGTTATTTGCCCATTCTCACATTGGTCATCTACACTTTGAGTCTGTCATGTCTGTGTTCCATCAGTGGGTTTGGTCATTTCCCTAGAGGGTGAGTCAGATGGTTGCCTTTTTTAAAATTCCCCCCTATTGGCATTCTGACCTGTAGCAAGCTCTGATGAGATTCACGATTTTAGGAAGTCATCAGCAGTGTTCTTTCTCAGGGAGCAAGCCTCATTTGGGCTGACTGGACTCGTGTGGCAAAGAACTACTGCTTGCTCCATGAGCCAGACTAACAGCTCTCATTTGCTAGTGTCTAGGAAACTTAGAAAAGTGAAGATTTTCTTGGCGTGCCCTGGTCCCAGCTGGCTTGCTCTCAGACAAAGCATTGGGCATGGGGCTTACCTTTGGACAGAGTCAACTAGTGGTATTTTTTTCTAAGGGAAGATGTGGGTGCATACCCTGTGACTGTGAAAGTTACATTTGATGACTCTGGGATGCTGACTTTTTAAAAAATCACCGTAAAAGGGTTGAAATCTGTTTTAATTATAAAAATTAATTTTAATAAAATGGAATGGGGCTTGATAGACTCATACCCAGAAAGAGAGAGATTGGTGTAATGAATCCACATGTATTTATCATGTAGTGGATGTAATAAACCCACCTGTGCCCTGGCTGGTGTGACTCAGAGGATTGAGCTTTGGCTTGTGAACCAAAGGGACACTGGTTCAATTCCCAGTCAGGACACATGCCTGGCTTGTGGGCCAGGTCCCCAGTGGGGGGCACATGAGAGGCAACCACACTCTGATCTTTCTCTCCCTTTCTCTCCCTCTTTCTTCCTCCCTTCCCCTCTCTCTAAAAATAAATAAAATCTTTAAAAAAAAAGAAAAAACCACTTGTATCATTTAGCAGTTAACAGTTTGCCGGTCTTGTTTCATCTATTCCCCTATGTGTGTTTATTCTTTTCTTTTTGCTTGACTATGAAATTTACTAATTCATAATTTTAACTCAGCTGAGTTTATCATTCATGACTATTTCATGTTCTCAGGAAAATAAAATAAACTTTGGCACTGAGATCAAAAGCCAAAATTAAGTTTCCATCAAAGCAGTGAAGCAAGTCAGTTCTGAAGCGGTGTATTATTTATCAATGAAGACAAACTGGCTTTCTAGGGCAGTTTGCCAAATAGGTGGTAAGATTTAGGAATAAGCAGTTGACAGTGAGACTTAATGTTTAAAATATTTTTGGCAACCTAGCTTGTCAAATAAACCTGGAATGGCAGAGTTAAGTAGTTGTGTGATTGCTTTTAGCTCAACTTCCTTGGATTGCATTTCAAATTAAAACTTGTAAAAATATTTAATATACAACATTAGTGCAAAGTAAGAAATTAAGGCCCTGGCCAGGTTGCTCAGTTGGTTAGAGCATTGTCCCTATATGCCAAAGTTGCAGGTTCAGTCCCTGGTCAGGGCACATACAAGAATCAACCAATGAATGCATTAATAAGTGGAACAATAAATCAATGTTTCTCTTTCTCCCCCTCCCCCTGACCATACCCCCTTCTCTCTCTTTTAAAATCAGTACATTAAATTTTAAAGAAATCAAGTAGAGAAACCATCTAGCTTATGAGGGCATTTATATTGAGAGCATTAGTATCCCTAAATAGTTTGCTTAAAAATTGGAAAGCGTTAATTTTAAAAGGTCTTAAATCAGTTTCATCTTCCACTTGATAAGTCACATGTCTGATTTTTGGTGGACATGTCAGAATCTACTCAGTTATGTCTTGAGAGCTTGCCGGGGGTTCAGAGCTAGTCTGCTACTGCCAAAGGCTATAGGATGAACTTCTGAGAATCAAATCCTTCAGCTAGTGGGTCCCTGAAGTATTCTGCAGCCATCCAGAATTTAATTTTCTGGCCCCATGATCTTTGACTCTATTGTCGGGGGAGCCTTGGGGATCAAATACTGGGTGCTTTGAAACTACTGGAATGTGCTTCACATAGTTAGTGATACGATTTCTGCTGGTTCTGTTTCAGTCTTATTACTAGGGCCCCTTTATCACTTGCTGGTTCTCTAGGTGTGTTCAGTCTCCTTTTAATCAGAACTTCCAGGTAACAACTTTTCCCTTCCATTTTCATTTAAGAAGTTTTCTTCTATATCTTGGGATTTTTAAACTGTGGTCCTCCTTTTATATTCTTTATTGTGTATCTTAGTCGGACCTTATATGGGGTTTAGTAAAGCTGTTAAATCTAATATGTATATTCTCATACTGTTTTCATCTGAATATTTAGATTTAACCTGGTTCTTTCTAAATATGGGATAATCAAAATCATTACATTTTTCTGTGTTGCGCTTTCTTCTGAGAGATCAACTTGCTGGTGAATGTGAACCTGGGGCCACCACCAGCCCATGTCACCGTCACTGAGGGCTTCGCCACCAGCAGGCAGTGGTGTGAAGCAGGTGCTGGGGGGTGGCCTGGGCAGGCCCTGCAGACATGATCGCAGGTGCCACGGAAGATGGGCACAGATCAGAGTGACGCCTGAGCCTTCTCCCACATCAGTCCTGACTGCTGACCTGTTTCTTTAATAATCTCAAATTAAAATATACTGCTTTTAAGTGGTTCCCTTCAAAATGTTTATCAGCTACATTTTGGACATTATTTGGGGAGTGGGGAAAGCAGGTGCACTAATGTAGTATTTATTTGTATTGCTGACTAATTATTTCCTATGCAAACCAGCAGAAAGTGTACTGGAAATAGGATTATTTTATTGCAGCATAGACTGGCAAAGTTATTTATAACTGTGTCAGAAACACGAATTAGTACAAATCTGGTATCCGAATGTGTTTTTGATGACCTGTTTAATCCTTTCCCTGGAATGAAAGAGTAGCTGGCTCCCCAAACCTGTAGAAGGTGAAGGAGGGATGAGAGGTAGAGAACGGCCCTGACCCAGAGTTTGTGGAGCTGAAGTAAAGCCTTTCCTTAGAAACTTGAGTGTTTGGATAGTTATCGTGCGTGCGTGTGTGCGTGCGTGTTTTCTTGCTTTCCTCAGACAACCTGGCTTTCAGGGGGAATAGCTGAGGGTGAATTTTGCATATAGGTTCTCCGGGTGGGGGCAGATCTCCTTTCTTCCACCCAGTTGACTATCTTTTTAAAGACATTCGATTATTAACAGTTACATTAAAATAACAGTTTTACCATTGTGCCTGGGTTTCTCTGTCTCTGTTTTACCACCTTTTTTCATTGTAGTAATTTCTGTGTTCATCCAGTGTTTTCTTCATGGAAATGGAACTCTTGCTTATAAATTTTGTGGGCATGTACTTTAATTCTGAATTGCAATATCAGATTTTTTAATAAAAGTTATACCTAATCAATCATTTTATTTAGGCTTTTTATATTTAAATTATAATTTTTTTGCACCAAATAACTGTATCAACAATGAAGGTATAAAAAAGTAAAACAGTTAACTTATAAAAATGTTTAAAGAAGAATTTGTTTTTGTATGTTCCTCTATTGTAGGAATGCTTAAGAAGTGAAAACGCTTCTGCATTTTAGCTGGAACGGTTTAAAAGTACTCATTTTCCCCACTTATTCCATAGAGCATCATAAGAGTTGTATTCCATGATAGACGACTACAGTATACAGAGCATCAGCAACTTGAAGGTTGGAAGTGGAATCGCCCAGGAGACAGACTTCTTGATTTAGGTACAATTGACCATCCGAAGACCATGGGGAGAGACGGGAAGGCATTTTAGCTGTGTCCGTGTTGGCACCATGTGTGATTGTGTGAAGAGTTCTGGAGCGGATCCTGTGTGCCATGAGTTGTTTTATAGTTTAAAACGTTGCCCCTTGGACAACACGGGGGTTAGAGGCCCTGACCCCCCTGCAGTCAAAAACTTGCATATAACTAGGCTCCTCCACAACTTAACTACCAATAGCCTGCTGTTGATCGGAAACTTTATAGATAATATAAACAGTCGATAAACACATATTTTGTAATACACATGTTATGCGTATTATAAACTGTATTCTTACAGTAAAGTAAGCTAGCGAAAAGAAAATCATAAGGAAGGGAAAATACATATACAGTATTTATTGAAGAAGTTTGCATGTAAGTGGACCGGCGCAGTTCTCACCTGTGTTGTTCAGGGGCTAATTGTAGTTTTTTGGCGCTAAAAGACCCTGAGCCAGGAATCCTATGAGTTTGAAACCATTTATTTAATTCTCAGTTGGCACCATCCATCATATTCTGAATAAAGTGGCATGGAAACCATGGTGGGAGAATGTATGATACTCAGGAGGTGGGTTTTGATGTTGAAATGGTTGAGTATTGGAGGATGTTGAAGAGTTCATCATGGAGGTATAACATTTTTCACTAGAACATAATTATAGTCAGTTGTAAGCTTTTAAATTATTCACAGTAGATGAGTTTCTCTGTAACTTCTTTTTAAAATACAGATATTCCAATGTCCGTGGGAATAATTGACACAAGGACAAATCCAAGCCAGTTAAATGCGGTTGAATTTCTGTGGGACCCTGCAAAACGCACATCTGCCTTCATCCAGGTTTGGATTTTTTACATCACTGGAAATAACTACTTTATTAGCCTACTCATTTAGAAGGCCATGGGTGAGACTGAATTCTTAATGTGTGATAGCATTTTTTAAAAAGCTTCTTTGTAAACTGTCTTGTAATGTCTTTTTTAAAATATACACTGTTAAATTTGAATTAATCTACCGTCATGACAAACTAACATATAAATGCAGTCTGATAGGTAAAGCATTAATCAGATGTTACTTTTACCACTGGTAGTAAGAATAATCAAATTTCCATTTTTCATAAGATGCATTTCTCTTGAACGAAAGCTGCCATTTAAGAGGATGTGATTGAAAAAAGTGTGCTCTTTTAAGATTCTCGGTTAAAAAACGTTCTAATACTGAGATTTTCAAACATCCACAAAAATAAGAGAATAATAATAATGAATCCACTGTAATTATCACATGGCTTCAAGAGTTAGTTGCTTCCCCTTTGTAAGTGACTGATGGAATACCTTAAAGCAACCCTCAGGCATTTCATTTCACCCATAAAAACTCAGTTTGTATCTCTGAGAGACAGGGTTTTGTTGTTTTTTTGGTTTTTTTTAAAATTAATATTATATATAAAATAAATGGTAATTCTAATACCCAGGATGTTCACATTTGTAGTGGTAGAATTAAAATGACTGAGTAGGTACTCTTATGTAGAAAAGGCATGTTGCTTAATTGCTGACCAGTCTAAGTAGACTATGGTTTTTGTGTACAGTGAAGAATCTGTGGTATTTTGAGTTTTTGTGACCTGGCAAATATTATCTCCCATCAATTAAGAGTCACTAGGGATATGGGTCATATTTGTTGAATATTTTTTCATATTGTTTCTCTAACAGGATAACTAGTTACGTAGTGAATGGAGGTAGAATAAGAGCTGGCCCTAAATCTCAGGTTGTGCACAGTAACCTGCAGGGATCAGTTTTGACTTTGAGAGTCCCTAGAAGGCAGGATGTGTGGCAGTCAGAAATTACCAAATCTGTTTACTAACCCTGCAAGGTATCCCAAAGCTATCTTCGTGGTGTGTTAGGAGAGGGTGCAGAAGTGGTGGAAGGTGAGTATTGCGCTCAGGACCTTTCGAAGGGTTGACAGAACAGTTCACATGCATACAGGCGGGACAAGCCATTGGCTTTCTGGACTGTGGAAGCTCCCCAGGCAAAGTACCCCAAGTTGTTATAGATAGGAACAGCTGTAAGATGATTACTGGGTAGAGCTGGGATAATGGCAGTAGAGGGCAAACAGTGGAATGAGTGATGAGGTGAGGGTTGCTGTGGACTGAATTTAGGCTCAGGACCCTGGGTCTGAGCCACCTACCATCTGAAGTGGAAGTTGGGGACGTAGACAGGAAGCTTCTGCACCGTTGTACCCTAGATGGGAGCAAGTCCTGCCTCAGAGGGGAGGCATTGGAATGGGGAGGAAGAGCTCATTGCCAAAGAGTTCAAAAAGGCTCAGTTGGATTTGTGAAAGGAAAACCAATATTAAAAGCAATCGGAGAAATTCATAATAGATACCTGGCTAAGATACGGGAGTTTGTTTTAAAGGACCTTGAATTTATAGAGGCGGTAGGACAGCCAGAGGAAACAAGTCAGTGGATAGTACTTTGAACCCATTTCGAATTGTGTAGGTACACTGCATCAGCACAGAATTTACTCCACGGAAGCACGGAGGTGAAAAGGGAGTGCCTTTTAGGATCCAGGTTGACACCTTTAAGCAGAATGAAAATGGAGAATACACAGATCATCTACACTCAGCTAGCTGCCAAATCAAAGTTTTTAAGGTAAGAGAACGAAACCAAGAAGGCCCAGTGTTGCTTGTAAAGTTGTTTGTAACCTGATAGATGAAATAACCTACTTTGTTTTTTAGCCTAAAGGGGCAGACCGGAAACAAAAAACTGATCGAGAGAAGATGGAGAAGAGAACTGCTCACGAAAAAGAAAAGTATCAGCCCTCCTATGACACCACAATCCTCACCGAGGTAATGCAGAGCAGCATTTTGGTGTCTGAAGCGAAGCGGAGGTTTGCATATTAGCGCTGTTCCTAAGGATGAGTTTCACTGCTAAAGGGTCAGGGAAGGAAGATTGGGGGCGGTGGGGTAGACTGACATAGGTTCTTTGTGAAATTTGTGGGGGAAATACTTTGTTTAAATTCTGGGATGCTAATGGATTAGTTTCCTGGGTGGGATCTTGAATGAAGATGCTGAAATCCCAATCAGGTCTCAGAAAAACAGACCTTAAAAACCTTGAAGTTGGCAAGAGATTAAGTCGGGGCCTAGAAAGTTTGATTTTTGTCACTGCTGGGGTTTTGCATTTTCTTTAACTTTGAATCCTGCTAGTCATGCATTGTTTAATCGGACTGCAGAGACATAAAACAGGGTATTAGATCTTTCTTTGTATAATGAAAACACATTGATCCCAATCTTTGGTGTTTGTCCAGATGAGGCTTGAGCCTATAATTGAAGATGCAGTTGAACATGAGCAGAAAAAGTCCAGCAAGCGGACTTTGCCAGCAGACTACGGTGATTCTCTGGCAAAGCGAGGCAGTGTAAGGGGCTTCTGCTTCTCTTTTCATTGTGCAAGAAACCTTGTGCAGTGTTAGATATAGGACCTACTTCCACTGAAAAGTAAAGCCAAATTTGTTTTTAATGTCCTTGTCTTGATTTAATTTGCTTTTGTTTAGACTTCCTGCTTTCTGTTTGTTCCTCACTAAGGAAAATTTCCTAAATCTAACACTTTAAAACAAAGTTGACCTTATTGGGTGGTTTTCGAGGGAAAAACGACACTCAGAAATGTGTTCCCTCCCTGTCTCCTTCCCTTTCTCCCTCCCTCCCTCTCTCCTTGGCGCACACACCCCTTCACGAGCACTGAATTAATTGAAAATACATTCTCGTAAAGAAGTTATCATTTTTGTGTAATTTAAAAAGGTTTTGCTTCTTCATGTGTACAGCTGATAAGAAAATTTCATGGATATTTAGAGAAATGATGGCAGCAAGCTTAACATTAACATATGCATTACTTTGTGTCACGTTTCCCTGCGGGTAGTATAAGAATGTGTGTCTGTCTGAGCTTTTAAAAGCCTATTTGGCAGCACTGGTAGAAAAAAGTGTTTGCATCTTTGCATCGGTGTTTCCTCTTGGCACTGCATTGTGAACTTACAGCTCCAGGCCAGGTTCCCCGCAACATACAGCCCCGGGATTTTTGGTTGAATATGAGCTTTGTCAGCTTAAGTATAGCAAATCCTCACTTTATGACACAACTCTTCACCAGAGTCCAGCTCAGCTATATATCCACGGTGAATGTAAACACAGAGCACTAAACCTTTTCCTAAGTAACTGTCATCGTCTGTATTAGCAGCTGCTGTGTTCATCATTGCAGTGTTCATACTCTCAAGGTGCCAGAAATGGAATTCTCGCTCTGAAACGTGTCTGGAATTATCTGTTGACTATGAAAGTCACAAGCACTATCACTAGACCTTCATTGCCACATTATTTTAAAAACATTGAGGGAAAATGTTTTAAATGCTTCTCTATGCAATAATACCAAAAATAGACTCATCTGAAAGGACATATACTCATCTGAAAGGACATGGAGCACACTCGTTGCATTTTAACTGGGCTTTTTTGATGCAAATCAGAGGTTGTGTGGAACCACTCAATCCTCCTTCCCCAAAAGCCTGCCCCTCCAATTTTGTTTTTATATCCTCTTCTGATTTCCCAGCTGAAGACTCACAAGTGGTTCTTAAACTTTTAGGGGGAAACCTTGGTAGCTCAAATAACTTTTCCCCTCTTATTAAAAATTATTTAATTAAATGGAATGGGTTCTGATCATTCATTAATCTGTTTGAGCCCAGAGCTAATCTGAAGATGGTAGAATTATTGGTAAATTACTAATGATTCTTAACTGAAGTCTAAAGTATGCAAAACGTCAGCAGTTCATTGGCCTGGGATTTCACATCTTCCTTGCGTGTGTTGCTTGCTCCGAGCTGCATTTGGTTTGGTTAAGATATTTCAAGGGGTAGTTAGAGCTCCTCTTGGAAACCTGTTTTTAAAAAGCAAGGTACAAAAGGCCTTCCTCTGTAGTCATTGCATATATTTCTTCATGAGCCAACAGAGGAAGAACAGGACTTTTTTTTTTTTTAACAGGTTTTCGATAGTCACAGTTGGCTGTCGGTAGATAAGGGATGCCAGGCTTCTCTGTAGACGTTGAAAGGTGCTGTGTGAAACGGTCCCACATTGAATAGAGGACTGGTGTTGGTTCCTAAGAGCCGCTGCAGAACAGAGCCCTTACTCATAGTGTGTCTGTTGTCTTTGCCTCTGAGCTGCATTTTATTGGCTCAAATCAGGGCTGCTAACTTCTATGGCGTATGACGGGTCATCGTTTTCTAACCCCCCTGAGGAGGGGCTTTGTTCACAGTGTACCAACACCGTGACTGTGAGAGCCCAGGCCAGGTAGCGCTGGGGCCTTAATGGATTACAGATTGTTATCAGGGCAGTGGTGTATTTCGCAGCATCGCTTACTTTTAAAAACAGGCAAGAATGACAAGGTAGGCCTTTACCGTCCTGGGTTGAGGCTGCTAGCAAAACCTATAAAACACAGGCGGGCAGGCAGGTCTTGGTGTTCCATTCTGCCTGGCCATTTAAGAACTTGGAATCTGTTGTTTTCTAAAAGTAGAGGTTTCCCCTCTACTTTTTAGAACCAATTTTCATTCAACACTAGTTTTCTACTGTTCACTGAATTGAGTCTCACATTTATTGGGCAAGTCTTACATGTCAGCTGTTAACAGCCCTACCTCTCTACTGCTAAAAGACTCTAGATATTTAAAAGTGAAAAAATAGGTATGTTTATGAAGTTTCCATCTATTTGGTGTCTGCCATACTAACATGAAGCTTTTGATGGCTTCATTTCCTTGGTAGACAGCTGGCAATAATTACCAAAGCAAACTTTGGGAGGCTTGACATTAAGAGGTTGGTATCATGTAGCTGTGCATGTTATGCTACATTGTAGTATTTTGTATCTGGGGAGGATAGTGTAGCAGGAAGTTCTTCCAGGTAGTGACTGAGACTGTGAGCATGGGACACTCATAAGTCATTCCATCTGCCAGTCGGCTCACAATGTCTTGGGTTCCTCAAACTATATAAGCTAAGGAAGTAACTACTTCATAAGGTAGAAAGTAAAACTAGGCCCTGGTGTAAAAGAATGGGCATTGTTGTATAAAATTTGTAGTGAAATTCATATGCCATGCAACATGCTTAGCAATGCTGTCCAGCCAGTAAATTTCTTTTTTTGAAAGTTGATTAGAAGAAAACAGTAAGTTCAGTCATTTCCCCCATTTTTGAAAGGATATATTTGGGTAGTTGTAAATAACATTAAGATTCAGGATTTCCGTTTTATTTTTCTTTTATCCATGCTTTCGATGGGTGTCAGACAGTTGCTTTAAGCTCCTGTGACTATTGGATAGACTTCATTTCTGTCCTCACAGTGCTTCATAGTCTCTTAGTTCCTTCACACTAGTGGTCCTGACACTTCATATGCAAAGAATTTTAAGACAGTATATTCTCCCTTCTACATTTTTAGGTTGACAACTGTAAGTTTTCATCGTACATTTAAATAGGAGCCCTGACTGGTGCAGCTCAGTTGGCTGGGCATTGTCTCATGAAGTGAAAGGTCGCCAGTTTGATTCCGGGTCAGAGCACATGCCTGGGTTGCAGGTGTGGTCTCTGATCAGATCACGTACCAGAGGCAACCCAATGGGTGTTTCTCTCCCTCTCCTTCTCCCTCCCTTCTCCTCTCTCTAAAAATAAATTAAAAAATTTTTTTAAAATGGTTCCAAGGGAGACAATTTTCTGACATAGTAAATATTTACATTTACAATTTTGAAGTGTATTCTGTGGACTCCAAGTCCCATAGCAATTTTGACACCCACCATTGTTTATTTTAAAAGTTCATGATCAGGCTCTTTCATTAAGTCTGAAACTTCACTCTGCTCTTCCTTCTTGATTTCATGTTTTCTCTCTTCTAACCCCCTTAAATAATTTCACCCTAATATGACATACTTTTATGCCTGAAAGTCTTTTAATTATCACCCTAATTAGTTCTTTATGACAAATGTATTTGTTGACAATTTTTAAAGTGTTCTGTGACCATAGGTTAAGTCATTTGAAAATTTTTTAGCTTTATAATTATTGGTACCAATTTATCAAAACAACAAATCATACTAATTTTAATGAATAATTTTTAAATGTAAAAATAGAAATGTTATTGGAAATACATTTTGAATGAGACAGAATAAAACATAATTCTAGCTTTTTTATAGATAAATTTTATTTAGATACTTATTGTTCTTTCAGCAGTGTCTTTTAGGTCTTGGAGCTCCTTTTGAGTTAATCTGACAAAAATCCCAGTGATCAATTTTGTATGATCCTAGATTATCTCAGTACTGTGTGTGAGCTGACAGTATTCTCCTGAATTGTTTTGAAAGCAAAGAATTGAAGACCACCTGACATACAGAATTTTTATTTCAGAGTTGTGTACTTTCTTAGTACCTACCCTAGTATCTTTGAATAGTTCTTTTTGCTTGGATTCAGGGAAAGCCTTATATGGCCATGGTGAGACCTAGAGGGGTTTTTGTGAGAAATAGGGGTGTTTATGAAAGGGGGTCTTTGGAACCAAGGGCACTCTCAGGCACATCAGTTTTAGAAAGAATACATGGAGTGAAGTGATTAGATCCCATTTATAGCTCAGGTTTGAAGACTTCACCTCGACACGACCCTGGCCTGCTCAGCATGCTTTTGACGTCAGTGTGCCTTTGTGTCTTTGCTCTGTCTTTGGTCAGAATTGTGCCTAGGACTAAAAAATATTTTAGTTCACCACGCCCTTTCTAGAAAATATAAATAATAAACATAATGTGGATAGATAGATATAGGCCATGCCATACACATCTGTATGTTAGTACTGGACCAGTCTCGTCTTACTTGGGGATTATTTACTCTTAGAGAAATCAAGGAAGCACGTGGGCCCTGGTGAGGCAAAAGGAGCGCTAGGAAGGACAGGCGTTGTCCCAGTCGCCATGTGCTGTCAGATGTCGCTTCTGAGTCCTTTCTTGCCTCTGCTATTCTTAAACCTTGATAGGCACCTTTTGGATAGTTGATAGAGAGAGGTGAAAAGTTCTTGAAAGCAAACTGTACATACGTATACATTTAAAATGCCTTCATAAAGTTTTGCTGCTATCATCACTTCTGGCCTTCCCTAAAATTAATTAGTGTCTAGACACATACGGCAGAAGGCAGTTTGATATGTTTCCATGAGGTCGCTTGATGAGTGTCAGGTGTCTTGTGTTTTATAGTCTTGTATTTGGCCAGACTAGAGAGTAAAATACAAAGTGTTTCTTCCATGTCCTTTTAAAAGCATATTATTAATTTATTTTTGTTTCTATCCTTAGTGTTCTCCATGGCCCGATACCCCCACAGCCTATGTGAATAACAGCCCCTCCACCGCGCCCACTTTCACGTCCCCGCAGCAGAGCACTTGCAGTGTCCCCGACAGGTATCTGCTTTGTGTCTTTGTGCGCCTGAGGCCGACTGATGCTCCTGCTCCTTTGTTTCCCGTCCTCTCAGTTTATAGCAACCTCTCCATCTGTTTATCTGAAGTGTGGAGTCATGGGAAATAGCCTCCTTGATTTCAGAGAAAAATCAGCTGTTCCTCACCCTGCCATTTGCCTCCTAGCCCCTTGTGTCGTGCACAAAGTGTGGAAAATGTGGGGGGCAGGGGCATTTTCAAAATATATTCTTTGCAAGATAAAAAGAACATTAATGGGGTTGGTGGGAAAAGGACAGTGAGATTTAAAGGTGACACTATAACTTGAATATGTTAAGATTGCGATAGTTACAACGTACATTTGTCTTCAGTGCTCACTATATCAAACAAGGGTTATTTTCTGCTCCATTTCTTCTCCCTCCTAATAAATATACATTTTTAAAAATAAGTCTTTAAAGAAAGGGCTTCCAGTTTCTGAGGACTTAGTGGTTTTGAAAATGGCAATGGTGGACTTAGTTTATTCTTTTATCTGGCCCTGACATGCTTCTGAGAGGCCGGCGCCCTCCAGGTGGGAGCAGGACTGCGTCCCGGCGTCCTGGACCTGCCGCAGCGGCGCCCGCCGGACCTCCCCTGCCGGGGTTTTGCTGAAGGACTAGTGCCAGGCAGGTCAGGCCAGGACTTTCTGGCTGTGAGGCATTTTAGGCCCCACCTCCTAACACTGTCTGTCACTGTGGGGTGAGGTTTCAACATATGATGTGGAGGGAAAATAAACATGCTTTTTCCCTGAGGAGAAGGAAAAACTGGTGAGGCAGCTAATTTTTTAAGTTGTTGCGCTTTAAGAGTAGAAAAAACAATCCTGAACTCAGGGAAGAGACCAGAAGACCAGCATGTTGCCACGCAGAGGGGCTCTTCCCGTTCCGGTCAAGTCCAGCTTGAATAATCTTAGAAAATGATTATGATATTAGAGAGAAACTGTGATTTCATGTACTCACTAGTTGACTGGATATTTCCTGAGAGGCCACTGTGTACCCAGCACTGTTCCAGGTGCTGTGATATTTAAGTGACAGACAAATCCCTGTCTGAGGAGCTGAAGTTCTAGTGGGTAAAGGAGGGTGGTAAACAGCCAACATAATAAACCCAGGTAAAGCCCCGAGTAGCTAAAGCGCTAAGACAGGAGCAAGGCCCGGGAGGGGAGCTGGCCACATGCCCTGGGGAGCTGTTTTTCATTTTACCTTTGAAACAAAAGGATAGTGGTACACGTTTGTTTCTTTTGTTCTCTTGAATTTCATCCTCTGTAATCATGGGTAAATGTATTAATTAAAAGGATATCATTTTCCATTTTGATTTTGATACCACTTATAGGTCAGTTTTCTTAAAGTAAAAATTTTTTTTTGCAGCAATTTTCAATGATCTTTCTTGGTTTTTCACATACCCCCCTCCCCCCCCCACTAAAATGAATGAGCATCCTTCATTTTCCTGTTACCCTGGAGATAGTTGGAACCCTTTTGTTTCACAAAATTTGAATCACTTATACTAAAACAGATAGAGAGGCGGCACAAATTTAAGAAAGTCTCCCATTACAGTCTCATCATATTTAATAACCCTTGACCAGCTGTGCCAACATTTTTATTGCAACTTTATATTGCTTTGTAACAGTATTTTTTAAAATTTACACACACGCTCAAATAATAACCACCTTTTCTTTCCCTCTCCCTTTTCCCCAGCAATTCTTCTTCCCCAAATCATCAGGGAGATGGAGTTTCACAGACCTCTAGCGAAGTGAGTATCTTGTTCCTAAAACGATCAGGTGCTTTCACGGCCCTGCGTTTTTAAGGCTCTGACAGGGGCTTGAGTCATTGTTTGGGTCACTGAGGAGTGAGACTTGCGCTCTTCTTGGGTGTTATTTTTCCTTCAAACTTGGAGGATTTCTGTTTTTGTTTCAGTGTCCTTTATAACATGATAATGACCCGTGAGGGGTTATTTTTTTTTTTTTGTAAGTTTGAATAGTTTCTTCTGTTTATGTTCATTTCCTTTGTTAATAGCAACTTCAGCCTTCAGCCACGACCCAGGAAACACAGCAGTGGCTGCTCAAAAACAGGTTTTCTTCCTACACGAGACTGTTTTCCAATTTTTCAGGTAAGTGTGTGTGCACACACGTCTGCATATGTATTTTCTGTGTGTCTATACTTTTCATTAACCTGATTTTTTTAAATTTTGAAGTAATTAGAGATTTATAAAAAGTTGTCAAAACATGTCCAGGGAAGTCCTGTGTACCAATCACACAGTTTCCCCCAGTGGCAATGTCTTGTGCACCCCTTGGACACGATCAAAATCAGGAGGCTGGCAGCAGCACACGCGGCCACTTCGCCAGTTCCGTGTGCCCTCATTCGTGTACAGGTGCACACAGTTCTATGCAATTTTTTCATTTATTAACTTTTTATTTTGAAATAATTTTTCCTTTACAGTAAGTTGCAAAGATAGTACAGGGATGTTCCAGGGGACCCTTCACATAATTATAGTACAAAATCAAAACCATGAAATTGACATTGGTGTACTGTGTGTATCTATATAGTTCTGTGCCGTTTATCATGTGCATCATTTTGTATAACCCCCACTGAAGACAAGGCACAGAAATACACCGCAGAACGGATTTCCCTGATGTAGTTTTACCCACCCCTCCTCCTGCCACCGCCACCACCAATCCCTAATCCCTGACAATCTGTTCTCTGTCTCTGTGATTCTGTCATTTCAAGAATGTTATATAAATGGAATCATACAGTATGTGACCTTTTGAGATTGGCTTTTATTTTTAACTCAACATAAGGCCCTTGAGTCTATCCAAGTGGTTGTATGTATCAGTTTTTATTCCATTTTATTGCCGTGTAGCATGTCAGGGTTTGAATGCACTCAGGTATGGTTTTTACAATACTTAAGTGTAATCTTGCATAGTGAGCTGAAAGAATATTTAGTGGAATTTTAAAAGGGACCGAGCAGTGCTTTTTTAGGTGGTGGGACAGGACACCTGTTTATAGGGACAATAATAGATACACCAGGTGGGGGGGTTTCCCAAATGTATTTGGCCCTCGGGCCCTTTTCCTGCAAAACACTCACAGATGTGTCCTGAGAACCACTGGGTCACAGGAGAATGGCCCTCAGCTTTCCTTTGCCCACAGAGCTGGGCAGCCAAAAAAGGGCAGCTTGAGCCAGTGAGGGGGGCGGAACATAGGTATGCACGCACCTGGCCTAGAGGAAGGCTTGATTTCACAAAGAACATGACTTCCTTTTGGGTCGGCCATGTACTGACTACAGTGTTTATGTGATGATTAGTCATTCACGTGTAGTTCTTCGTCTCTCTAAAGTACCAGATTGAAGTCATGTGCTACTAGCCACATTTTTGTATCATTAAGTAAAACCTCTTATCTGAAAAATGGGAAATTTAAAAATTTTAGTGTGTGATAGAGGGAAACGCATCTTGAACCTTCCTAAAGAAGACAGATGAAGTAAAGACAGATGAAGTAAAAACCCATACAAAAAGCTCTGACCCTTGGAACTAAGGGAGGTCCCAGGTTATGCCCGTTATATTAGACCCATCCATCTTTCCGTCTGGAGAGTTCCAAGCTCTTCCCACTGTGACCAGTGATCACATGGCTTGGCCTCTTGCCCTTACCTTGTGAGCGTCCCAATAATAGAAGGATGAGCAGGAGATTGAGTTCTTGCCCTGAGCCTCTTGGGCATTCACATTTTGGGAAGGGTGTGCACATGAATATCTGTCCAGTGCTGGGGAAGGGTTAAAGATGCCCACACACCCATCTCTGGTCACGCTGTGAGCCCTGTCCTGTTTTCAGAGGCGCAGGAGGCGTGTAGTTGGCCACAGAAGAGAGATGAGAGCAAGCCTGTCTTTGTTTAACTGACTCCATCAGTGCTCATGCCTCATGTGAAGTGTGCTTCTCTGGTCTTTATTTCTTTCACACACTGTAAAGTTACTGGACTCTCACACTCGGGCCCTCAAAAATAGAAAGGTAACCCCATTATCTTGTTACATAGGTTACTTAGGTTACATAGGACCCCCTATGGTGGGTAAGTAACCTATGTAACAAGACAAATATGACAAATATAACAATTTGTCATATTGAAATCATGCTTTAATCCCAGAGGTCATCTTAATTCTCCCAATAGACTACATTTTGAGCACTAATAAAAGGGAAAAACAAAAGATTATGGACACATTCAAACATAAAGAACAGGCAGAAGAGTACGATGGACTGGCTCCTATGTAACTGTCCCCAGCTTCAAACACGCCCAGCCTTTGGTCAGTCTGGCTCTCTACCACTCCCTCTCCCCCTTTTCCATGTATTTTATAGCATGTCTAGATATAGCATTTACGCTCACAAGTATTTGGGGGGAAATCTGAAGGTGTAATGCAGCTTTCTGCCATGCTTTTGTACTAAAACTCGCTGCTCTGACAGCTGTTCCAGAAAGCTTGACTTTACCTTGCATGGTGCAGAAAGAGGCCTACACCTAGATGTCCTCCCAACTCATGTGACTTTAGGCAAGTCTCCAAAATTCTGGACTTCATTTCCTCTTTTTGTAAAATGAAAGATTGGTCTGGGTGATCTCAAGTTAAAGTATGTGGAATCGGAGTCATGTTCATCCACACAACCACAATGCAGCCACAGAAATCCTGCCCTGGAGCAGACAGTCCTGCCAGACCCGCTCATCGGTACAGTTTACCATCTCCTGGGCTTCTGAGCTCCCCCTTCGTACAGGACGTGGAAGAGCCAGCATTTTCTTTGGTTCTGAAAAACTGTGTGTGTGAGTGAGTGAGTGAGTGAGTGAGTATGTGTACGTGTACACACAGGAGACCTGTGATGATTTTGAAAGACATTTAACTGTGTGAAGACAGGTGTCATAAAGCAGCCAGTCATGCTCGTTCCTTTTCCATTTCTTTGAGAAGAATTTCTTTATGCTGTTCTCCAGGTGCCGACTTATTAAAACTGACAAAGGAAGATTTAGTACAAATTTGTGGTGCAGCCGATGGAATTCGGCTCTATAATTCACTGAAGTCAAGGTAAAATACTGTGTTTAAAAGGAACTGTCTTGCTTGAGATAAGAATGTGCCTTTCTTTGTGTGGGGCATGTGGGCAGAATGTGCTTCCACACTAGGCGGGCGTGTGCCTGCGCGCTGTCGGGTGTCGGCAGCGTCATGCTCACGAGGAGACTGTTTTGTGTACACCCTCAGGGCAGGCCCAGATATGATGCAGGCACTGATGAGGGCAGAGGTAGACTGTAAGACTGGTAGCAATGCACATGGGCAGTACTGAGTTCTTGAAGACGACTGGGTTTGTTGCCAAGAAAACAAACTTCTCATTTAGGTGAGCTCTACAGAATCTATGGTTTTCAAGGTCATATGGCTACTACTAAACAGTTATTAAAAATGTAAACCTCTAATTGTGCATTAAAATGAAAGAACCGTAAACTGTGCTGGCTTTTAGGATTCGTTTACTGTCATTGCTATTTCTAGACTTGTGTGAAAATTCCATTAAAATTGACTGATTTTAAATTGCTGACTTAATCTTGAAACTTAAATTTACCAGCATCTGACAGACCATCTCAGTGGTTTAGAGTCTGGATCATCAGATTAGACCACCTGTGATAGTTGGTGTGAGGTGTGTGTTTTTATATTTCTATTAGTACATTATTTTGTATAATGAAATACCATTGTAAAGTTCTCATAAGGAACTAGCGCTTAGATTCCTGTAGTGTCATTTGTACATGTGGCGAAGCAGCTTTCTCTCCTGGCTCATGAGTGGCATCTTGTGATTGCAGGTCGGTTAGGCCCCGCCTAACCATCTATGTCTGCCAGGAGCAGCCGGGCAGCTCAGTGCTGCAGGGGCAGCAGCCGGCTGTGGGCCGCGGAGCCGAGAATGGCAGCGGGACCCCCTACGGTGGGTATGGGGGCGTCTCAGCCTCCCGTCACTCCCTTTCTGACACTGAGGTACCAGCAGGAAGGGCCTGACCAGGGCGTTGAAGGACTGCTGTCCCATTAGGACTGTCGAGTTGCTGCTGCGCGAGTCCTGGCAGCACTGAGCACTCAGGCCGAGTCCCATGGGGAGGAGCGAGCTAGGGGCCTGTCTCAGTTATTTCAGCCACGTGAAAGTCTTTTTTTTTTTCCCTTTTTAACATGGCCCTTTATGCCAGAAATACCAAACACGTGAAAGAACTAGCTTGCGTGCTTTGGGGTTTTGCAGCCTTTAAAAAAAAAAATTTCAGATGCAGCGATGAACATGACATTGGCATCTTGGCAAGAAAGCAGGAGGGTTTTTCTTTTTATCTATTTTACTGACTGGGGGAGAAAACTTAAAATATCACTTGTGTAAAGATGCATCTGTATGTCGGGAACTGTACGGACTTCTCTCAGGCAATCATCTGGCTAGCACTGTGGGCTCTGTGTGGTGAGTCTGGTGGCTGTCCTGTGTCGTCGTAAATAGACTGTGTCTTGATCATCTAGGACTGGGAGGGCCTCATCTTCCTGCAGGTTTTCCTTAATTAGGGCAGAGATTAAAATCCTGGCCCCTCTCCCCTCCTCTAAGTATGATCCTTGAGAGAAAAAGCCTACGTGTTCTGAGTTTCTTAACGCATGTGTGTTCTCATCTGTGAAGTGGGTATGGGGTACTCTCTCCCCTCCTCCCACATTCTGAAAAAGGGCCACACACTCAGAACTTTTCAGAGGAAAATGTAGAATTCAAAGAGGCAGTTATTTGCCCTAATACTGGATGGAGCTCTGAAAAATACTTTGTGGCACTTTGAATTTTACTAAAAAAATTTCCCAAGGACAGCATCGCTGTCCTGAGCTTCCCCATTTAGGGTTATTTTGACTGCAAAAGCTACGAATTTTAAGACTATAGATAACAAAGCTTTGGTATTAGATGCTAAAAATCCTAGAGGACTCTCCATGTATCATCAAGTTCTGTATCATGTGGTCAGGATTATAATATTTTGGAGGGTACATCCTCAAACATGAGTGTTCGTGGAGGTGTGTGTGGAAATACTGTTTTCTGTTAAAAGCCAGGTTCTGCCATTATAGTGTCAGAACCCACAGACAATTATGTAGATGTCAGGTGTGGCTAGGTCCTGATGACAGTTTACTTTTGAACAAGTGGAGGGCAAGGTTTGGCCCCCATTGGCTGTAGTTTGGTGACCCTGCTTGACATCATCTCTGTAGTCTTCCCCTAATTATAGTTCCAGATTCTAAGATTTTCATAGTGTATAATTGGCAAAGGTTTCTATGCTTATAAACACACAAGAAAAAACCCTTGTTTGGGAAAGCAGATTTCTAGCACTGATATTTCTGATCAACGTCTGGCTTGAATCACTAGTAACTGAGCTGGACCTATGAGTCAGACCCTCTGCACATATGCCTGGCGCTGTGCAGACAATGGCTGGTGCTGGGCTATGTGGTCCAGAGACACGGGACCCTAGGTAGGACGCCCCTGGGACTTCTGTAAAGTAGCAGCGGTTTCACTGTCCACATCCTTAGCTTTCCGTGTTCTGTCATTTATACTGTTTTTAATTTGGGGTGAGGAGGAAGATAGCTTTTATTCTTCAGGATAAACTCTCAGTTGTAGGATTACTGAATAAAAAACTATGACCTTTTAAAGTTTTTTTTTTTAATATATTGCTAAAAACGTACCATTTTTGAAAAGAGCTTCCTTCAGGTATAATTTATATACCGTAAAATCCTGCCTTTGTAATTATATAATTCAGTGATACCTTAGTAAATGTACAGTTTTGCAGCCATTACTACCACAATCCAGTTTACTTCCATTACTCCTGGGCACATTTGCAGTCAACTCCTGTTTTTAATAAAAATTAAAACCTCAAATCCTTTTGTACAGATATTACTGTTAATGTTTATATTTTTATTACTTTAAAAGGTGTGATCTTCCTCTAGATCCAGGTGGGAAACAGATCAAAGATTATTGCTAAAGTGCTTTTCTTGTATTTTTTGTTTCAGTTTATCATGCAATCTACTTGGAAGAAATGGTTGCTTCAGAAGTTGCTCGAAAACTTGCGTTGGTGTTTAATATTCCTTTCCACCAAATTAACCAGGTTTACAGACAGGGTCCCACTGGTATTCACATTCTTGTTAGCGATCAGGTAATGTGAACTGACCTGCCCATTCGCTTTTCCCATTCACGCTGGTATTTGCTTTTATATATATCACTGAAAAACTATAGAAAAATTCTGTGGACTCTTTTATAAGTACTCCTGGAAATCATTTCAAATTGTTGGGAATCCAAATCTGTAAGAATTGATAACCAAGAATTTCTGGCGTTCTAGTGATACAAGGAATTCACATCAAGGAGAACTGTGGTTCCACCGCACCCCCCTCTGCCCTTTAATTCAGACACTCACTGGGGGACTGCAGGTTAGTGGGGCTTCGGCCCCTCTTCATGGAGAGAGGCGTTTGGGTGTGTTTTCCTTTTGTCTACCATTTGATGACTAATTTTAAAAAACAGTAAGGTTAGAGGTAGTTTTTTTTTCTCCAGTGTCCAGTGGCAAGCAAAATAACAGAAGAGCACTTATGCAGTCACTTTTTGCCACAGTAACTATGCACAGGACCCAGCAGGAGTGCTCCCCAGCGGGTCATGTGGGTGCCTGACCCGCTCCCCGGGGACTGTCCTGCGCAGGCACTGCCGCACTCTGCGGCCGTCAGCTAAGTCCTGTGCTTGTGCGGCAATGGACAGATTATGACAGTTTCCTCTAACCGCTCGTTTTAATTTTTTAAAATCAGTTACAAAAGGATAGCTGGGTCTTAACTACATCTGCTTTCTCCTCCTAGATGGTTCAGAACTTTCAAGATGAGAGTTGTTTTTTATTCTCCACAGTAAAAGGTACTTTGAATATGGTGTGCACGTGTCTTGAAATGCTGGAGTTATGAAAAATGAGTGCCTGTAATCAACACTCACCTTGTGTGTTTACTTTCGAAATGCTGGCTTTACTAATTTTAAGTAGAGTTTGAAAAACAAATCCAGAGAATGTAGATAGATTTGTCCTCACCCAAGGATGTTTATTGATTTTACAGGGAGGGGAAGGGAGAGAGAAACATCAATCAGTTGCCTCCCATACACCCTCTCACTGGGTATGTGCCCTGACCAGGATCAAACCACAAATTTTTGGTGTGTGGGATGGTGCTCCAACTGAGCGTCCAGCCAGGACTGAATCCAGAGAATATTTCTCATGGTTATAATAGAAATTTACTCATCAAAGAGGAAGACAAGTCGATCCTTCTAGGTGACTGGGGAAAATAACCTCAGTTCACCCAGCCAACTGAGCGCCTTCATCCGACACTGTGCTTGTGGCGCTAGGAAAGTCTTAACAGTCCATGGAACTCTTACTATAGTGAGGAAGCACCCAGAAGTGGCCAACAGAGGCACATAATTACAAATATTTTCAGTGCCATGAAGGCATGGGAAAGGGCAGGGTGTCCGTGGATAAGGAGCGTCTGGGTAGAGGGACATGAAGCTGCTGGGGAAGGCCTCTCTGAGGTGGTGTCATGGGTGCTGAGACTTGAAGACTGAGGAGGAGCCAACCATATGAGGAGCATCCCAAGGCAGTGTGTGCAGAAAAAACGGTAGCCTTTTAGGAGGTTCGAAGGGTGGCCAGGTGGCTTCCACGCAGTGTGCGGCGGGTGAGTGGAGAAGATGGAGGTAGGGCCTGTTGTGCAAGACCTGGTGGTGGCAGTTTAGATTTTATTTGAAATGCACCAGGAAGCCAATAAAGTTGTTCAAACAAAGGAGTAATGTGGTTAGATTTTTCCATCACTCTTGCAACTCTGGAGACAGGTGAGAAGACGGGAGGCAGGAGATGCCATGGAGGTGCAAGGTGCACATACCCCACACGCGGACAGACAGGGTCCTGCTGGATCCACACGGGAGGGAGGAGTGGTTGTGAGTCTTCGGGGAGCAGCTGAGCGGACAGTGGTCCTAGCAGTAATGGTTGGGGGAGACGGGCCAAGAGTCCCCTCTTGGGTATAGGAGTGTCAAGTCGGCATTTAGTTAGGGCTGTTTCAGGCTGGCAGGAGAGGCCTGGGCATGAAGTGTAGGTTTGGAAGACTTCAACGCATCAGTGGTGACTCGGCAGCAGAAATCATTGAGGTCACTGAGGGAGTAGGGCTTGAGTGCCGGTCAAAGGGTTAAAGGGGAGGGTTTTTTACTTAGGGCCTTTTTTTGTTCTAGGTCCTTTAGTTGTAAAGTTGGATTATTTGGGATTTTTCTTGAGGTAGGCCTGTATAGCTACGAACTTACCTTGTAGAACTCGTTTTGCTAAATCCCATAAATTTTGAAAAGTTGTCGGTTTTTATTTTTTGTTGTAGTTTCAACATAATGTTTGATTTCTTCACTTCCTCTTTGATCCATTGATTATTTAGGAGAATGTTGTTGAGCCTCCACTTAATTGCCTTTTTCCAGTTTTCTTCTTATAATTGATTTCTAGTTTCATGCTATTGTGATTATAAAGGATGCTTGGTATGATTTCAGTCTTTTAAAATTTATTGAGGCTTGTTTTGTGGCCTAACATGGCCAGCAAAATTATATGAGATCTAACATGGGATCTATCCTGGAGAAAATATTCCATGTGCACTTGAGGGGAAAAAAGAATATTCTGCAGTCTTTGAGTGAATGGTCTTTAAATGTCTGTTAAGTTGATCTTATCAACTTAATTTTCTGACTGGATGATCTATCCAATGGTGTGAGTCAGGTATTAGAATCCACTGTACTTATTACTGTGGATTTCTCCCTTTATGTCTGTTATTAATTGCTGTATATATTTGGGTGCTCCTGTGTTGGATGCATAGGTATTTACTATTGTGTCCACTTCTTGGATTGACCCACTTAAAATTATATAATGCTTCTTGTCTCTTTTTTACATTTTTTTGTTTATAAAGTCCATTTAGACAGATGTAAGTATTGCTACTCCAGTTTTCTTTTCATTGGTTTGCATGGAATCTTTTTCCATCCCTTCACTTTTAGTCTGTGTCTTTCGATTTGAAGTGAGTCTCCTGTAAGTAGCATGTAAGTGGGTCATGTTTTTGAATCATCAGCCATCCTGTCTTTTTATTGGTGCATTTATCTATTTTATTTACATTTAAGGTAATTTTAAGTATGTACTGAATATCATTTTGTTCACTTTTTTAATACTTCTCTTTAAGAAGGCATTTTTAAATGCAAAATTATATGAAAAAAAGGTTTTTAAGTCCTGGCTGGTGTTGCCCCGTGGATTTGAGCACCAGCCTGTGAACTGAAAGGTCACAGGTTCGAGTCCCAGTCAGGGCACATGCCTGGGTGTCTTTTCTCTTTCTCCTCCCCCCCCCCCCCCTCAAAAAAAAAAAAAAAAAATTTAAAAAAGTGGGCCACGTCCTCAGTAGGAGACACACAAGTGGCAACCACACACTGGTGTTTCTCTCCCTCTCTTTTTCCTTCCTTGCTCTCTCTGTAAAAATAAATAAATGAAATCTTTTAGATTTTAACCCGTTGGAATTTTTATTCTAGTCTCATCACAAAAGCTGCATCTCAAGAGCAAGATGCCGTGTGTCACCCTTTCTTGGAAATCACTCTTTAAAGGGAGTAGCCCCAAACAGTTTTGAAATTATGATTTCACTATTTGCCTGACATGTTGCCCATGCCATTAGGTTACCTGTAAGGCTGAGCTTTAACTGTAAACTGGTTCCCTTTTATTTTCACAAACATCTTCAGCGTGATACTCCTCTGCTCAATATTTTCTTTTCAAAGCAATACAGTTTTTACTCTGCAAAATTCACATTATGTAAAAAAGGAAATTCGTACTGCAATTAATTGCAATGTTGTGTTCTGTGAAAGTGGCAGATACTCCTACTGTCAGACATCACAGGAGAGCCCTCCAGTCTCAGTGCACTGTTTTTCAGACTTTTGTCCTCAAGAAAAATTCATTTGTTCCTTGGTGAATGCCTGTACTGCTTCTCCCTATTTTTGGAGAAACACAAGCGCATCGGGCAAAAATAGTGTTACATTTCTTAAAACGTTTCTGATCTACCTCTTTGGAGTTCAAAAATTATTTCCAGCCCTGGCCCAGCAGCTCAGCTGGTTAGAGTGTAGGCCCAATACACCAAAACCTTGGTGTACACCCAAGGTTTTGGTGCATTGGGTGTCAATCCCTGGTCAGGGCATACACAAGCAGCAAGCAGTGAGTGCATCAGTATGTGGAACAACAAATCAGAGAGAGAGAGAGAGAGAGAGAGTGTGTGTGTGTGTCTCTCCCTCTAAAAATAAACACAATTTTAATTATTTCCAGAAAAGATGGATATAAGCACTCAGTTTATTTGTCCGTGTCAGGGAGAGCTGACTGTCCTACCCTGGCACAGTGGTTTCACCTGCCCCTTCTCCCCACTCAAAACTTGCAAGTGTTTAGGCTCAGGGTGCTGATGGGGGTGTGGGCCAGGCACCAAAAAGCAAAATGTTTAGAAAGGGAATGTATACATGAAGTTGCCTTAGGAAAGAGGAGCTGGAGCAAGCAAGTCAGCTTTTATTCCTGTAGAATTATTTAGTAACCTCTGAACTGGGGGCGGGGGGAGGTTATGGATTTCTGGGAATTTTCGATTTAATAGTCTTGATTTTCCTGAGTCTGGCTTAAAAAAAGCCAAACCTAACTTCTCTTTCCTTTTTCTGCAGTTGAAAATAGTGGTGGTATCCACATAATTTTGAAGTGATGTCTTACGTAGTCTGAACTATATTCAGTACCAAATAAAGTCACGCTTAAAAGTGTGTGAAGACTGAATCCAAGAAGTCTTGGGATTGGATTTTACTGTATGAAATGTTTCATATTGAAAACACAAGATGACCTTTCTAATGAGCTGTATGAGAGGCGACTCTCCTCACTGTCACTGCCACAGCCAAGCATCCTCGTGAGAGTGAGCACGTCGGGACAGCACGCCTGTTCTCGGGGCCGCGGGGCAGGCCGCCTGCCCGCTTCTCTGGCGGAGGCCAGGAGATAGAGTTCCTAGAAGCAGCCTTTGCTGTCTTTTTACACTGTATGCGGTTTGGAAATGAATGTAAAAACGTACTGTGGGCATTTACCTTTCTGTGCCAGTTGGGCCTTTACTGCCTGAACCTTCTGCTGAGCTGGGGCTGGGGGACAGTGCTGTTGTGGAGCCAGCATGGGATCTGTGTGCAGAGAGATGCCATGTGCTGACACGGGGACTGTGGTCAGGTAAGAGGCTCGGCACCTTCTCAGAAGAAATCATGTCTAACTAAGGGTGTGCGTCTCACGTAATCATGCCAGGTGGGGAGGAGCCAAGCAGGAGGGCTGGAAGCAAGCTGCATTACCCAGAGTACCTTGGCGAGAGGATCAGTGTAAATCCTAATAGGTACAAAGACTTCTCTGTTTTTGCTTTGTCACAGATTTATTGAAAAACTTTTTGCTTCTGCTTTCATTTTTAGCATTTGGTTTCTGGTTTTCATTTTTGAAGTCCCTTGCCTTTTAAACTTAAGTGGTTTCCTTTCTCTTTTTCCTCCATCCCTCTGTCTTCAGTTGCCCATCCCAACTCAGGCTACACCATCCCCTTCTTAAACATTCTTAAAGCCCTACCCCAGCATTGGAAGTAGGTGACCTTAAGCAGGAGAAAGAGTATAGTTTCTGACCTAGTGTTAAGGGGTTTTCGTTATCCACAAGTTGAAATTATTCTTGGAACACTAGACATCATAAATCAAACACTATATTGTACCATGAAAATTCCTTAAACTTCTCAAATATTGAGCTTTAGTACAATCATGAGTAGATGTTCTGGTGATTATTTAGAGGCTTTTTTATACACCACATAATAGTTTCTTTTTCTGTAAAAAGGATGCCTCTATCATAAAACCAAATGCTTATCTCAGTATACTCTTCAAAGGGAACCCACTGTTTTCACAATTTTTCCTGCTATCTTTATCTCTTCCCGTCCCCGAAAGCCTTTCCCAAAATTCATCAAGCAAGCATTTTTGAGGCCTGTAGTGTGTAGCACATCCAATTTGTTTTTAAACTTAAATTCCATTTTAATTATAGCAACTCTGTCCACTTACCTAGGTGTCTTGGTTTTGAATGTCCTATTTGATCCTCATCTTTGTTCAGGCAGAAATAGGAATGAGTCAGATTGAATTTCAAATCTTTCCCATAAAGGAGGTTGTCTGATTCCAAGCGGCACTGTTTCTAAGTATCGCCATCTTCAGTGTGACCCTTACAGACCCTAAAGCAGCAGGGCCTTCCCTTCTGTCATTCTCCCTCTTGCTTTTGTATGACCACGTTTTCTGTACCAGTCACTTGGGAGAGAAGTGAGCTTCTGTTGTTTTAGTTTTGCTTGTCTACTTAGCATTTCTTTTTGAGTCTCACAGTTTATGGAACAGTAAGTGTCATTTAATGCTGTGTGCTATATTGAACTCTTCATCATGGTTTAGAAGTGGGGTAAAAATAATTAAGAACTCATCAAACTTGAAATTACACCAAGTGGTGTTGAGCATTAGTCTGTCCAAGTGAAAAAATGATGGCACCAGCAAATTTGCTACTTTGTTTTTTTAATAGTAGGATGTATACATCTCAGTATAATAAATGTTTTCCGACTGTTTTGCAAAATGTGTGTCTCATTTAAAATCCTAGTTCCTGCCAGAGTCACAAATCAACAGAATTGAGAGACTCCTTGTGTATGTTCTGGGTTCCTACCAGTCCGAGTGTTTTAGAAGAGGCGAGGCCTGTGTTCTTTCTTTTCTGATTGCTTTCTCAAAGTTGATGCTAATCTGTTATTCCATAACTTCCACACCTGAAGCAGAAGCAAACCTGATTCTTACCAGAGGTTCTCCTATTGTGTAAGTGAGGTCACTAAGCACTGAGTACAGTAGCTGTGATAGGTTGTATCCTAGCTCAAAGGAGGTAATGTACAGAAGGCCCTGGGCATTTACATAAAATAGAAACGATCATTCATAATCACTGAAGCACGTCTGTGTTATGTTTTGTTTATTTAAATAGCGTCCTGCATCAGTCCCCCTCACAGTGGTGCAAAAGTATATTTAAATAACTGCAAAAATTTTAGACCAGTGAAGACCAGAGTATACCAAGCAATAAAATCATCAGGACTTTAATGCTTATTCTGGTGGTCCCGTTGAGTTAATTTATGGGGTTGTGCATTTATGTATATGCCCTCCCTAGATTGCAGTTGCGGCATTGTATCTTAAATGCTTCTAAAACTGTCTAACAGAAGTATGGCTAGTCATGGGAAAAAATAACACCTTGTTTTTGCTGTTTCGCCTCAGCTCCCAAGCTCTGGACTCCTCAGTCCAGGCTGTGGTTGCTAGGAAGGATCAGCTACTGTTAACACACATTCGCCGTGAAGGTGGCACTGGGTTCCTAATCTTAGTAAAGATGACAACTGTGGACAGCACAGGCAGGAACTAGGTCATCTTACCAGGTTTTAGATAACATTAGGAAGGTCTTGAATTTGGGAAATGGTTTTGCTCAGATTGATCTGCCACAGGTTATAGCAATAAAACCTTCTGACTTAAGCATTGCGATGGTTTATTCATTTTTATATTTTGAGTCTCAAAGGTGCCAACACTTCACTGATCTGAGTTTTAAGTGTGTACGACTTCTGAACAGTTTGGTGTAACTTGATTTCTAAGATTTTAAAATAAACTTGGAAAAAAATCACACCCATTCTACATGCATCCATTCATTATTTTTAATCGATCATATTATAGATAACTTAAGCCTATTCAGTTCTATTGCTTTAAGGTCCCCCCAGTTTTGTGAGATGACGTGATTAGCTTTTCTCCTATGATAAAATTGTGTGCTGTAGCATACACTAGAGCTTATAATTTCCCCTCAGGCAGCACAAATTCTGAGTTGACTTTGTTTTTGGTCCCCAAAAGTGTATGTGACAAGTTGACAGAAACAGAGGTGAAGGCCCTGCTCCACCCAGTTTAGAGTCCTCATTTCTTTGGTGTCTCATGGAAACTTCTTAACGTGCCTTCCACGTAAGTCTCTACATATAAAACTATCAGGTACTATGAATTTGCAGTACAGTCACTGACGACGTTGCTATTTAATCTTCAAAGTGGAAAAGTCCTGCTAATCAAAATGGAGCTGTCATGAATTGAAGCAGGCCGCTGTCTCAAGTGTCAGGTAGGAAGTCAACAGCCTGTTTTTTCTGCTCAGTTTGTGCTAACACTGATGGTCTGTCTGCGTGATGCTGACAAAGCCGAGGACAGAACTTGGGTACCTAGGAAGGTACACCCACCTCTTCAAGAAACCAGGTTTCTTGCACGGTCCTGGCTGAAGGAGACCGCCCTTGCTGTGTGCTTACTGACACAAGGCTTTGATTGCACGGCAGCAGAATCGAGGTGAAAACTCTCACCCACAGAAGTTACTGCAGTCCCTACAGAAGTCTTTTACCTGGAAAAGCCTTGCCCAATGGAGAATCAACAGAGTGCGGCGACGGTGGAGAAGGCAGGGAAGGCTCAGGTCGTCTGCGGCGCGGGGCCCAGGCAGCAGCTGTCAGAGGATGACACAACACCTGCACAGCCGGTGTCCGCCGCCTCCCACTGCTGTCGGCGGAGTGACAGGCGCAAAGTACGCGTGGACTTTGACATGAGGGAGCTGAGCCTGGAAATAAAAGGGAAAAGTGGAATAATCTTCACACTGATATTCTGGGGGTTATAGGCATAAACCTAGAAAAGCCTGTAGTTCTCCATGTAGAATCAACTTCACTTTTACTAGTAGGCAAATAGTTCAAAAAGAACTCCTGTTTACACAGCACATCCCTTAAAACAGCACCTTCTAAAGACAAAGGAAGGCTGATGGAGACTATGTCTGCCCAGGGGTAGTCACTGGCGCTGTGTGCACAGTGAGTGGCGTTCTCAACAGCTGCCGCACGCATCCTGGAGCTCTTCTGGGTGTGAATGCAAAGCTAAAAACTTAGAGTGAATTCAAGAAAATAATGAACTGTGTGTGGAAAGAAAGCCACATTGTATGAAGCGCTCTCACCTGGAAGTTGGCCAAGACCACATTCAACCTTCTACTGGGAATGACCTCAAGCCCTTTTCCATATAAGGGTGCTTGGTCACCAGACTGTGGAACCTGTTTTGGAAGCTGAATCTTCCAGGGTGGGGTCTAATTGAGGAAATTTTGAAGCAGTCTAAGGAGACACTTGTGTAACATTAGTTTGAGTAACTACGGGTTTAGGACAGAATGCAGAATGTGGCTGGTTTTTATTTTTAGAGAGCTACGGAGAGAGAGAGAAACATCGATTTGTTCCACTTATTTATACATCCTAGGGAGAATGCTGGTTTCCCAGCGGACCTGTTGCTTGTTTAGGAACCGCGCCGGGCGAGCCAGCTCTCACCCACACGTACCCGCATCCGCTTGATGCCCGCGCGGGTAACCTGCTGGCAGTCGTACAGCTCCAGGCGCTCCAGGCCGCGGCAGCTCTCCAGGTGTTCTAGGGCCACGTCGGTGATGAGGAGGCAGTTGTCCAGTTCCAGCACTCGCAGTCTTTCGTGGCCGCAGGCGCTATTGCTCAGGTGCAAGATGCCGTCATCTGTGATGAGCTCACAGTGGGACAGACTCTGCAACAGCGAGAGAAGGGCAGGTGTTTGCAAGGCCCTCGTGCCAAGGCTCGTGACCTAGGAGAGGCAGGGGAGCTGGCCCGTCCCAGAGCAACCACTTGCCAACAGGAGGATCAAACACAAAGCTGCCACTGGGCAGTGGCTTCTCTCACCTTTCTGACTGTTAAACCAAGTTAAAATTGCAGGGAACGCTCTGGCTCAAGATGGTGAAGAAGATCCTGAACTCACCTCCCATGAACAAACCAATCTACAGATGCGCAGGGAACCACCGCCCTGAAAACACCTGGCGACAAGCTGAGCAACTACACAAGCAGCAGGTGCGAGAAGGAGAGGCTGGGACACAATCCCGCCAAAAACGCCACTCCCAGGGCAGCGACCCCCAGTGGGAGGGACTCGAAACGGAGCTTATCCCTAAGGAGGGAAGGGTCAAAACCCCACCTGGTGCGCCTCTGACTTTTAAGACCTACACCTGAGAGGCCCCCAAAGGAACACCTTTGAAAACCAGCAGGCTCGGGGCCGCAAGACTGTAGCACCTGAGAAACAGGCCTTAACAGGCCTTAATGGCCCTCACCGGCCCCAGGCCCAGCATGGACCCGGCCAGTCGAGGGGCGCCTAGACGGATGCGGGTGAGGGGATCACTTACAGTTTGTCTTGGAGCACCAGCCTGAGGGGTGCGCCTCTGCTTAGACACCGATTTGGGGGTGTTCTGGGATGCCACCTTTGTGCACTGCAGCGGCTCTAGCCGGAGGGTGCCATTTAAACTTCGGGGCTCTTTTCCTTTCCTGCTGGCACCACCTCCCTGCTCCCCGCCTCTCCCGCTGGTGTGCACCGTCCTTGCCGTCTGGCACCCTGGAGCGCCATTCTCTCTTAGTGGGGAGCTTCACGTCAGGGAACACTACATCTCTGGCTCTGGTGGCCAGTGGGGCTTACGCAGGTAGGTCCCACAGGACTGTAACCAACAGAGGAAGAGTTCCTAAATAGCTGCCACCTCAAGGGCCCAGTAAGAGCCAACAGACCCAGGAAGCTCAGTCTTTCTGTGAAAGAGGCCTGTTAGCTGCTCATCGGAGCTCCTGCCAGAGGGGCTGGCTTTTAATTGATACATGTCTCAGGGCCAACTAATCCTTTGTAGAGACCACCAAAGGCAGGCGTGTGCTCGGTACTTGCTCTGTGCTCCCTGCTGTGCCATATGGCAGGGTGCCAGTAACTCCTGGGGGCCGGGGGGAGCTCCTACTGGTGCCGGAGCGATTAGGCCAGAGGAAGAAATAAAAGGCATCCAAATTGGAATTGGAAGTAAGACTCACTGTTTACAAAGGACATAATATACATAGAAAATCCTAAGGACTCCACCAAAAAACTGTTAGAACAAATGAATTCAGTAAAGTTGCAGGATACAAAATCAATATATAAAAACCTGCTGTCTATAGATTAGTAACAAATTATCAGAAATTAAGAAAACAATCCCATTTACATCTTCATGGAAAATAATAAAATACCTAGAAATAAATTTAACCAGGATGTGAAAGGCCTATACACTGAAAACTATTAGACATGGATGAAAGAGATTAAAGACACAAATTCCATGCTGGAAAATAAATATTGTTAAAAAGGTTCATAGTACCAAAGCAATCTACAGCTTCAGTGCAATCCCTATCAAATTCCAGTGGTATTCACAAAACAATTCTAAAATTTGCATGGAACCACAAAAGACCCTGATAAGTCAAAGCAATCTTAAAAAGAACAAAGCTGGAGGCATTATGCTCCCTTGTTTCAAACTGTAGTACAAAGTTAGAGTTGTCAAAACAGTGCAGTACTGGCATACAGACAGACACCTGTTAGAATGGCTATTATCAAAAAAATAAGTAACAAGTGTTGGTGAAGATGTGGAGAAAAGGGAAGCTTTGTGCATTACTGGTGGGAATGTAAATTGGTGCAATTACTATTGGAACCAGAAGGTTCCTCAAAAAAATTAAAAAGAGAACTATTAGATGATCCAGCAATTCCACTTTTTAGGTATTTGAAGAAAATGAAAACAGTTTAAAGAACATATATGCATCCCCGAGTTCATTGCAGCATTATATACTATTTAATAGGCAAGATGTGGGAGCAACCTTAGTGTCCATCACTGGATAAATGGGGAAAGAAAATGAGACAGAGATACACACACAGTGGAGTATTCAGCCATGAAGAAGGATCTCCTGCCGTTTGTGACAACACGGGTGGATCTGGAGGGCACCATGCTAAGTGAAGTCAGTCAGAGAAAGAGTGAAACCTTATGATCTCACATGGAATCTGAACCAATTTGGGAGTTAAGACTTCACTGGAACTATTATTGTAACACATAGATGGAAAACGGGTTAGTCAGAGAATCTGGATACAGGTAGATTCCTGACTAATCTCTGAAATCCGACCCCAAACTCAGAAGGCGCAATAGCTGTCCAGAGGCAATGTGGAAACAAGGAAACATGGTGGGGAGAGTAACTCAAGGCCAAATGGCGCTTTAACGATGTTATAAATTCTACCCTCCGAGGACGGAGCTGGCGTCAAAGACAGAGGACGCTGGCTTCCAAAAATCTGTTGTGGGCCCGGCCTGGGAAGACCGGGTCCTGTGTGGTCAGGAGGCCTGGGGCCTCTGAGCGGCTGTGTAACTCTGGGCTAGTTACCTGCTCTGAGCCACAGCTTTATTCGCCAGTTAAGTGGGGTGTCCGCAGCGAGGGGGTCGCTGGGCGTGTCTGGCTCGCCCCGTGAGCCGGCTCCCACCCCCGCCCCGGCTCCCGGTGTGAGCTGTGCGTGCGAGTGTCCGTGTTCTCCCTGCTCATGTGGATCTTCTAATACATTCTGTTTATTAATATTAATTATATAGTATGTATGTATACAGAAGAGGAAGTGTATGTATATACATATATACAGATATGAAATGCAAATATAACACAAAGCTGGAGGCATCATCCTCCCCGATTTCAAACTTACAAAGCCAGAGCAACCAGCCTTTTCCTCTCAGATGGTATCACTTTACCATGCTCATTTTCACTCCACACGACAAGACTAAGAGGAACTTGAGTGAGGTAAAGTAGTAAGGATATGGGTCCCTCTATTAGGTTCATATCCTAAAATTAAAGCAGTGACATTTAGATACCCTGCCTCCCGTGTTAGCCCAACTAATAGGTCTTTGACACCAGGAACGCAATGCATTTATAGAAAGGAAACCCAGATTCCCGCTGTGGTGGGAAGGTCCTTCCATCCCTAAGAGGTGACTGATGTCACGAAAACAGACTCACCAGGGCTTGCAGTTTAGGACAGTGGATGGAGAGCTGGATGAGTGTGCTGTCGGTTATCTGGAGAGAAACACGCTGCGTCAGTGTGGCTTCTACACCGGAATGTAACGCCTAATTATGGCTTCTGAGCACGGGAATCAAGGTGCAAGAGAGTTAACAACTCAGCTCAAGCACACTCTGCTTAGGCAGGGAGCACCTTTCATCAGCATCCTCAACTCTGCCCACTCCTGCAGGAGCAGAGCATTCTTTGGTCTCTTCTCTGGCTCCCTAAGGGGGCCTAGGGACCAGGGACAAAGAGAGGGGACAAGGAGTGTCCCCTGGGACTCTATGTAGTCTTAAATTCTGTGAAAATAAGAGCCTTTACAATGTTTGGCAAAACATGGAGCTATTCTGAACTCGGCTGTAGCTGGCTGATGACAGAGAATAGACCAAAGTTCATGGGTCCCACTGCCCTGGCCTGTGTGGGGGCCCGGAGGGTCCAGGCGACAGCCAGCCGGCACGCCTGGCCACGCCTGGCCGTCAGCGACGAGGCGTCCACTCACCAGGAGGCACTCTTCAAGGTCCATCTTCTCCAGGTCGTGGCAATTCTGAAAGAGTCCACGGACACCCCTCACCATGGGTCACTGGTAACGGCAACCCTGGTGGCTTGCCCCATGACACTGTCCAACTACTGGCCCAGTGTCCTTGTTCTCTTCCATTAGGAAATGTGCCCTGATCCTAAAGAGACCCAAGCGGCCAGCATTTCTAAGCAGGTGCCCCCCGAATCTCTCATTTTGGAAAAGGGAGTAGGTGCACTTCTTCCTCTCACCCCAGAGAGGCAGTGCCTACACCTTCACAGACACCAGCTGCAGCACAGGTTCTTTGAGGGGGTGTGGGGGGCGGGGGGGGATTCGGGGTAGGAGAAAGCGCATCAGCACTCCCAGGAGGACAAACATTCCAGCAACAGGCAGGGGTGGGGGGGCGGGGGGCAGGGGCCCGTGGCGGTCCTCATTTGCGCAGCGACGTGGGAGATGGAGCAGAGGCAGAGCCCAGCCCCGCCGGGGACGCCGCTGTGTGAGGAAGGGCACCTCCTCCCAGGGAGGCGGCCCCACCCGAGCACTGAGAGAGGCCAGACCTCTCCCGAGCCCTCCCCAGCTTTCCGACCACCTGGGAAAAATGCAAAACGCCCCGGGGACTCTCCTCTGTGGCCCCGTCATTTCCAAAGGTAGCGCTACGCACACTCCAAAAGCCCTCCAAGTCACTTTGAAGGAGGGAGGTGACTTAGAGTTTGGTTTTATCTTTTAAAACCTCCATCTTACCCGAGCTAAAAGTGTAAAACCCGCGTCAGTCAAATGGGAACACCGGGCGGCCTCCAAAATCCTGCGGTGCGGAGTTCAGGGGGGGAAAAAGAGCAACGGTTAACAGTAGACATACATGCCCCTCTGGCACACACTCTTGTTTCTGGTCTCGGCCCTAAGGGTTGTAAATGCACATACTGTCCCCACTGGACAGGTGAAGAGAGTGAAGCTTAGCAAGGAACGTGACCTGCCCTAAGTCCCACCCCAAACTCGGGACAGTAAATCCAGGGATTCCCCACAACACCAGCACATGGTTGCTGCTGCTGTTTTTAAAATAATTTTGACCTTTCTGACCAGTTTTAATCACACAGATTCCTTTTACTATGCAGAAATATCAAAATTATCTAGAATATTCTCTACAACAGTAAGACAAGTGGGCAAAAAACAAAAATAGACAATCCTTGATACATAACTGATACAAGAAATGGATCCATTTCACTGGCAAGTAAAAAAAATAAAACAACATTGTATAGAGGTTAAGACTGCTGGTTTTGAAGTCAAACTCAGCAAGTTCAAGTTCCAGTTTTCCTTCTTACTCATCGTGCGATCCAGGACAAATTACATGATTTTCTTGGAGTCTGAGGTTCTCCTCTGAGCAGTGAGGACAACGGCACCTCCACCCGAGGTGGGTGAGGGTTATGGGAGACAACGCTTAGAAAGGGGCCTAACGCAGAGCCTGGGATTCAACCGACATTAACGATGATTACTATTTGTTGCCATTATTAAAGATTTAATATTCACAGTATTATAAGGAGAATCAGAAAACACATCCCTATTTATGAAAACAAACAAAGCTTTTCTTCCACTAGGAGGTGATGAATAAGTCCACTGGGATGCCCCAGCCCCACCCACCCCCAATTCTGTCCGTTCAGCAGTTGCTTTAGAGGCAGAAACGTGACGTGGACACGGGGCTATCGCCCTGCTCACGATCGCACCACTCTGATGTCAAAGTAACGACAGGACGAAGCAAACTGGGGTGGGGGGTAAACGTGTGCAGTCCATCAAGATATTAAGGGTTCGATTCCCCGGTGGTGGGCAGCTCAGCACTGACCCCCACATCCCAAAATGCACTGGATGCCCCGCTGCAGCCCGCCTCCCGCCCCCGCAATCCCTCTGACAGCAACGCCACCGCCACTGCCACCGCCTCCAGCCCCAATTCCGCTCTCCCCCAGGAAGCCCTCGGGCTCAGCCCCGCCACACTCTGAGCAGCAAAGCCCAAGGCAGGGCAGCGACTCACTGAAGTCTTGGGCAGTTCAGGGCCAGGGCCGTGAGGGAGGCGTCCGTGAGGTTGCTGCAGCCCGAGAGGCAGAGGGCCTGCAGCCGGTGGCAGCCCCTGCAGATCTGCACCACGCCGTCATCAGTGATGCGCTGGGGAACCAAACCGGGAAGGAAAGTCAGAGGCGCCAGCACACTGAAAGGGAGCAGCAGAGACATGGGGTCTCCTGTGGGTGCGCTGGTTTAGCTGCCGGGTCCTGGCATTGCATCCCCGCGATTTAACCAAGGCAGGGCGGCAGGCGCGGCAGACGCGCATTTACGTTACTTCTGCACAGCTTTAAAAACGCAGCATTACTGAGCAGGGTGATATATATTCCAAAATTCTATTTCCCTGCCCAGATTCACTGGATATTTTTTTCAGAAAAAAATTAGTAAAATTTTATTAAAAATCAAATTAAATAAAGAGCTCGAGACCTGACTAAGTGATATATTAATTCTTGGTTGAATTTCTATAGATTAATGCTTTGGTTACCTACGGTATAAATCCTACACGTCTGTAATATTTCCTCAAATGCTTAGAACATGGCAAAATTAAATAAATCACTAAATTATTGATAAATGAACATTCAAAGTAGTATATTTAAATATACTAACTTATGTGGAGATAAACATGCACATTTATGTCACACTTCAAGTCATGGCCAGAGCTAGGTGACATGCAATTCAAGGTCCTATTTATTTATCTTTAGAGAGATAGTAAAGGAGGGAGAGAAACAACAATGTGTGGTTGCCTCTCGCATACCCCCTACTGGGGACCTGGCCTACAACCCAGGCATGTGCCCTGACTGGGAATTGAACCAGCGACCCTTTGGTTCACAGGCCGGCGCTCAATCCACTAAGCACAGCAACCAGGGCGAGATCCTATTTTGAACAGTGCAGGCCCATAAGGTCAACACGTGTCCAGAAGATAGCTTCTCCTTTACCCTCCATTCTCAAGGACTCTAAAGGTTTATGATTCAGGGACTAAATGCCAAATGCAAAGGATTTCTCTTTATTTTCCCAAAATGGACGTTCGCCTTGAGAAACCCAGCGGGAAGTAGAAAGCATCCTCTTCAATTACTAATATTCGCAATGGCAGGGAAGCAGGAACGATAGCTTTTCACAGACTGCTGCTCTGATGAAAATTAATCTTTAATGCATTTTCATATCTGTCATTCATGTACTGAGACAACGTGACAAGTGTCACCACCCCCACTTTGTAAGTAAAAAAAAAAAAAAGACACCGTGACCTTACCATGAATTGCGCGGGTCAGTGACGGCACCCCTGATAGCCTAAAATAACCTGAGACCCCGATGCCTATTATTTGTAGGGGAAACGTCAGTGGCTTTGCATTGGCTTTTCTGTTCAGATGGTTGTGTTGCATCTTGCGGCAGATGGACAGACCACAGAAGGGATGGAGGAGACCCGCCCGGGGCACTGCAGGAGGGCTGGCCCGCAGCAGGCCCCTGAGGAAGCAAACCCGGAGCAGGGCGGCGGGGTTGGGGGAGGGGAGGCGCAGGGGCAGGGGCGGTGCACACGAGAGGCACATCACTTACTGAGCAGGACTGTAAGTTGAGGCTCACGAGCTCATGGCAGTAATTCTGAATGTGTTTGAGAGCTTCGTCTTCTAACTGGGTGGACAGAGAAAACCAGAGCGGGGGCACCGGTGAGGGCGCAGTGGGGCACCCAGGAAAAAGCGGCAGCACACCCCCAACCAAGCGCCCACATGAAGCTAACTTGAGGGGAACGGCAGGGGCCCCCGGCCGTGTCCACGCCCGGTACCTGCGTGCAGCCCCGCAGGAGCAGGGCTTTCAGGCCTCGGCAGCCTCGCACCAGTGCCTCCACGCCGTCCTTTGTGATCTGATCGCACCAGGACAGGTTCAGGTACTCCAGGCCTCGGCAGCCCTCGCTGGGAGAACAAGAAGCAAAACGGCGCTGCGCAGTCCGTCCCGGAGAGGAGCTACCGCCAACCTTGAGGTTAGCGGATCGCAAGCGATCCGGGGGCGCGAGAACCTCTGCGACCTGCGTGAGCGGCCCACTTTCTGCTCCGGTGGAGCCTGAGAAGGGCTTCAGGCACAACAACACGTTCGCAGCTTTGGGTGCTTCTGTTGCCCGCAAACCACAGGCACCCTTACCTGAGTCCCTTTAAGGAGCTGTTCGTAATGGACACACAGGAGGTCAGATCCAGATGCTTCAGCTTGGAACAGAACCTGCTTAGGCTGTAACACGTGCTGGAAAAAAGCAGAGGCACTACAGACATTTTCAACTATGTTTCTCTCCTCTCTGTCTCCCCAGAGCCAGTTAGTCACCAAACTAATTCTCATTACTTACCTGTCAGTGATTTTTGTGCACCCATTGAGGTTCAAATGTTCGATGTTGCGGCAGTTCTGAGCAAAGGTCCTGAAATGAGAAAATATTTTAAAACTTCCTGCAAGTCGCTGGGCAGCCACGAGAGGGCATGAGTAACCATTCATTTAGAACAGTGCTCCTCCAACTTAAAATTTCATTTTTTGGGGCAAACAACACTTAACATGAGATATATTCGCGTAACAAAATTCTAAGTGTACAATATATTATCGCTGATTATAGGTACCGGTGCTCCTCAAACTCTAATGTGCACACGAAAACGCCAGGGTTCCGGCCCTGGTTATACACCATGATGGCAGATCCAGGCAAATCGCTCGATGGCCGGCGCTTCGCGGGAGCGGGCTCTCAGGTGAGGCCAGGACTGCTCCTCTGGGGGCCGCCCTTAGAAAAGCAAAGCTCTAGAGCAGCGGTTTTCAGCCTTTTCCATCTCATGGCACACATACACCAATTGCTAAAATTCACTTTTAGTACCCACCAAAAGATCTATTTTTGCTGATCTGACAAAAAAATAAGTATAATTTTGATTGATTCTCACCAGACGGCTATTGTTGTGTTGGCTGCTGTCATTTTTTATTTGACAATCTAAGGGAAAAGAGATCAGCGCCCATGACTAGTCAGGTGCTGCACATTTTAAAACGTCCTGGGGCTCGCCAGCGTGCCGCGGCGCACTGCGAAAGCCGCTGCTCTAGCCTGACTACGTGTCCGTCTTAGCTCTCCTTCTTCCACATCTCAGGGGTCAACTAAGAATCGAGTCCGGGCTTCCTGCTATCCTCCCCTCTACAGAAAGATCAGCTGGAAGCACGAGGGCTGAATCTTTCTTGTGCTGTGCCATGCTGTCACTTGGTTACCCTAGAGCCTTTCTGGAAAAACTGTCTCTGGCCATCGATAGGGTCAGTAGTTGATCAGTATCAATAACTGTCCACTCACTGGTGAAGACAGTGAATCATGAAGGGCGACTTCTTCAATGATGTGTGGGTGGGTGGCAAGGCCAGAAGCGGAAAATTAAACATCTCCTACTTGCCACTTAATGTTTAACATAGTCAGCAAGGTTATCTGCATTTGCCTAAAATTTAGCTTCAACATATCTTGTAAGATTGAGAACTGACTCTTCTGCGCAGTACCCGAATGCCTCCAAAAGCTGTTCTCGCACCAGATGTTGCTCGGCCTGCCCTTCGGCCCTGCTCTAGCTCAGGGAAGTGATGCCAGCTGGCGCCTGGTGGGCTCCCTGAGCTGAGGGTGTGGAGCCATAAGTCTCTGCCCAAGGCAGTTAGAGCTATCAGAAAAGAAATCAACTTTACACAGGAAAAACTTCAGAGATCTGCAGAGGATTCCCGTCACCAAAAAAAAAAAAAACAACATTAGAGGGCACAGCAGTGAGAGCTCACCCAGAGCCAGAAAGGATGCCTATTCCCACCAACAAACGGTCATAAATGTCACAATTCAGGGGGCACTGGGTAGAGTAATGAGAAGGCTCTTGTCTCAGGAGTGGAGTATTAGTAGCCCTAGACCAAATGCCACTTTGGTCCAAACTAACAAATTGTAAGAACAAAATCTGAAAGGCACTAGGTCCAAGTAACTGAAGTACTTCAGAACAAAACTCAAGAATATTGCGCTGGCTGGTGTGGCTCAGTAGACTGAGTGCCAGCCTGTGAAGCAAAAGGTCGCCAGTTCAATTCAAGTCAGGGCACATGCCTGGGTTGTGGGTCAGGTTCCTGGAGCGGGGCTCACGAGAGGCAAGCACACATTGATGCTTCTCTTCCTCTCTTTCTCCCTCCCTTCCCTTCTCTAAAAAAAAAGAATATTTATAGAAATACAAAAATATCTGCACCCAAAGTTAAATTTACAATGCCTGGCATTGAACAAAAAATTACCATGCATTCAAAGATGGAAAATGCATCTTCTTCATAATGAGAAGAAAATTCAGTCTATTGCGGCTCAGCCAGAATTGACACAGATGTCAGAGACAGCAGACAAAGGTGTTCAGTTACTATAACTGCGTTCTGTAGAACAGAGTTCTATGAGGCTAAAGATGAAACATGTTAAAAATATGTTATGTAGAGACATGAAAGATATTTTTAAAAGCCGCAACCTAAAACTGTTAGGTATGAAAACCACAATGGCTGAGATAAAAATTCGCTGCATGAGACTAAGAGCAGATCAGACACTGTGGTAGCAACACCTGGCGAACGTGAGGGAACAGCAACAGAAGCTATTCAAGATGAAACAGGGAGACAAAACAAGGGAAAAAGAACAGAGCATGAGGGAGTTGAGGAGCAGCCTCCATCCACCTCATATACATGCGAGTGGAGCCTCTGAAGAACAGGAGACAGCGGGGAGGGGGAAAGATCTTAAGAAATAATGGCCGAAGATTTCCCACACCTGGAAACCTGCAGCTGTAAGAAAAATCCCAAGCTCAAGAAACACGAAGAAAAATATACCAAGGAACATAATAACCAAATCTGTCAAAAATGGTGATAGAAAATACCTTACAAGCAGCCGAAAAAGATGTTATGCATAGAGGAACAAAAATAAGGGTGAAAGAAGTCTTCTCATTGGCAAGAGAAAAAGCAAGAAAAACAGCGCAGCAGCATCTTTAGTATATAGAAAACAAAAAACGGTCACCATCCAATTCTATACTCAATAACACTTTTTCAAAAATGAAGGTAAAAAGTTTTCTTTTTTTCAGACATAGAAGTGCTGAAAGAATTCCTGAGACCTGCAGTACAAGAAATGTTAAAGATCGTTCTTTGGGCAGAAAAGAAGTGACAGTAGATGGAAATTTGTGTCTACAGAAAGGAGTGAAGAATGCCGGAAATGGTAACTACTTAAGCATGTAAAGCCAATATTTCAGTTATTGAAATATCTTTAAAAATAATTGTTAAAAATAATTGTTAAAAATACTAACAACCTAGTGTAAAATTTATATCATACATAGATTAAAATGTTTAAGAATAATAGCATGAAAGCTGAGCAAGGAAAAATGGAATTATATGTATGGTTAAAATCTGAGGTGAGATTATAGTAACTAAAAGATGTACACTATACACTCTAACACAACCACTCAAATGACAAAACACTGAGTTATAGGTACTGATCCAAAAGAAGGATATAAAATAGAATCACAACAAATACTCAGTCCAACAGAAGGCAGAAAAAGCAGCAAAGGGAAGAAAGAATGCATGTGACAAAACAGAAGACAAACAGCACACCTCATCCATAACAACGTTAAATGTAAATTACCTGGACCAAAGAAAGCAAACCCAGCTATATACTGCGTACAAGAAACCAACTTTAAATATAAGGATACAAATCAGTTAGAAGCAACAGAATGGAAAAACATATACCATGCCAACACCAATAAAAAAAAAGTTGGATTGGCTATGTTATTTCAGAAAAAGTACACTTGAAGTACAGAATATTACCAGGAATAAAAGATGACCATGTGATCATGAAAAAAAGCACAACAATCTTAAATGTTTATATACCTAATAAATTCAAAATACATGAAGGAAGAAACTGATAAAACTGCAAGGTAAAACAAACTAATCTAAAATTACAGGCAGAGATTTCAATACATCTCTCAATATTTGATCAATTGAGAAGTCAGAAAATCAGCAAAGATACAGAAGACTGTATCAACACCCTCAACCAATTCATAGAACACTCCATCCAACAACAGAATACACATTCTTTTTAAAAGCACATGGAACATTTACCAAAATAGACCATACTCTTGGCCACAAAACAAATCTCAATAAAATTAAAAGGATTCACATCATACAAAGTATATTCTCTGATCATAATGGAATTAAATAATAATCAATAACATAGAAATCTGGGAAGTGTCCAAATATTTGGAAACTAAATAATACATTTCTAAATAAGCCATGGGTCAACAAAGAAATCAAAAGGCAAAGATAATGCATTTTGAACTAAAATATGCAAACAGCATTAGAATTTCTGAAATGCTATTAAATCAGCACTTCGGTGAAATTTATAGCACTAATCTTCTACATTAGTAAAGGAAAAAAACTTTTAAATCAATGACTTTAGCTAAGAAACTAGAAAAAAGAAGAGCATGTGAAACCCAAAGTAAAGAAGAGTAAGTAAACAATAAAGATCAGACTGGAAATCAATGAAGTAAAAATAAAACAAAAAACAATAAAATATCAATGAAACCCAAAGCTAGTTCTTTACAAATATCAACAAAAACAATAAATCTCTAGCCAGACAGACCAGGGGGAAAAGAAAGATAAACATTAACAATCTCAGAGAAATTTACTTATCTCTGCTCTTTAAAAATGCATTATTAATGCCAATAAAAATTTCAAGGACTGTATAAATTTCAATAGGCACTGTATAATCATTGTAATTTTTATTAAAAATGACAACTACTTTCATATGGTAAAAATAAAACACTATCAGGAATAAAGAGAGGTAGTATCACTGCAGATATCAATTAAATTGGTAAAAGGGTTATTTAATCAACTTTATGCCAATAAATTCAAGAAGTCACATGCAATGGACAAAATCTTTGAAAGTTTACTACACTGAAGCTTATTCAAGAAGAAATGGAAAACTTGGAAGAGTTGTATATATATATATATTAAAGAATAGAAACTGTGCCCTGGCTGGTGTGGCTCAGTGGATTGGGCGCCAGCCTATGAACCAAAGGGTTGCCAGATCTGAAACAAAGAAATAGGATTTGTAGTTTAAAACCTTCCACAAAAGAAACATGCAGGCCAAGATGGCTTCAATGATTAATTCTACCAAGTATTTAAGGAAAATAATAAATACAAGTTATAAATACGAGTTACACATAATGCTCCCAAAAAAGCTGAAGAGGAGGAAACACCTCCCAATTCATTCTATGAAGCCAGTATTACCTTGGTATCTAAATCAAACAAAAAGAAATCACGGGAAAACAATAAAACTATACCCCTTATGAATATAAAATATAAATACAACAATTTAACAAAATTTTAGCAAGTAGAATCCAGTAATATGTAAACAGTATAATACATGACAACTAAAGTAAGGTTAACCTGACAGATGGAAGGTTGTTTTAACATTCAAAAATTAACCAATGTCATTCACCATCCTAACAAACTAAGTAAGAAAAACCTATGATCATCTAAAATATACAGAAAAAGCATTTGACAAAATCTAACATCCACTCTCAAAAAGATAAACTGCAAACTAGGACTAGAAGAAAATCTTTCCAATTTGATGGTCATTGAACAAATAATCTATCGCCAGCATCATACTTAATTCTTATTCCCCCGAAGACTGAGAACTCACTAGGATGTCTATTTTCACCATATTTATTCAACACTGTCCTAGAGATTCTAGCCAGTGCAATCAGACAATAAGAAAAAGCACTGTTGGAAACAAAGAAAAACATTCCTCATTTACAGGTAACACAGTTGTCTACATAGAAAATCCAAAGTCATCAACAAAAAAGCTACTAAAACTAATAAGTGAATATATTAAAGTTGCAGGATAAAAGATCAATGAACAAAAAACAACAGTATTTCTATTTAGTAACAAAAAACAATCAAAATTGAAATTAAAAGACAGTAATATTTATAGCAACATTTCATAAAACTTAGGAATAAATATGACAAAAGATGTGCACAACCCATACACTGAAAACTACATGACACACTAAGAGAAAGTTTAAAACACCTACAGATACGGAGAAATATATCCTGTTCGTGGGATGGAACACTCAATGTTGTTTCAACATCAAGTCTCCTCCAGTTGTCTATGGATTCGATATCAGCCTAACCGAGATGCCAGCAAGATTTCTCATAGAAATTGACACGGTAATTATATAATTTATATGGAAATGCAAATAGAAGAACCAAAACAACTTTGAAAAAGAACAAAGTTGGAAGATTAATACTACTTAATATTAAGATTTATTATAAAGCTACAGTTATTAAGATAGTATGGTTTGGTGTAAAGATAGACAACTGTATCAATAAAAAATATAAACAGTACACTAATAGTCCCACTGTTATTTGGACAACTGATTTTCAACAAAGGTATAAAGACAATTCATTGGAGAAAAAGTGATCACTGCAACATATATTATGAGAACTGGACATCACAGGCAAAAAAATGAATTTCAATCTATATGTCATACCACCTACAAAGACCAACTCAAAATTTGTAGGTCTAGCCTACAAAACCTCTAAAAACACAAAGAAAATCTTTATGACCTTGGGTTAGACAAAGACCTTGTCTGTAACACCAAATGCATTGATTCGTAAAAGAAAAAAATGACAAATTGAACTCCATTAAAATTAAAAACTTCTCTTCAAAAAACAGTTAACAAAATAAAGAGATAAGCCTCAGACTGGGGGAAAATGTTTACAGAACACATATCTGATAAAGGACTTGTATCCAGAACATATTCAGAACTCAAAATTCAGTGTAAGACAACAAACAATCTAATGAAAAAATAGCAAAACATTTGAACAGACATTTCAGCAAAGGAAATATATAGATAGCAAAAGCTACATGATAATGCTCAATAGCATTAGTTATTAGTGAAATCAAAATTACACCCACAGCGAGACACGCACACAGCCGTTAGAATGGCCGCCATCAAGAAGGCTGACCGGGCAGCACTGGCAAGGACATGGAGGAGCTAGAAGCACTACACGCTTGCAGCAGGGATGTAAAATGTACACAATGATCATGAAAAATGGTTTGGAAGTTTCTTAAAAATCAGACATGTAACTTCCAAATGATCCAGCCATTCCATTCCTAGTTATTTACCCAAGAGAAACGGAAACATCTGGCATTCAAAGTCTAGTACACAGATGTTCATAAGCAGCTTTACAAGTAATGGCTGAAAACTGGAAAGAATCTGAATGTCCATAAACAGATGAATGAGTAACTAAATTGTAATAAATCCATACTCAGCAATAAAAAGGAATGAATTATTGAGATACACATAGATGAATCTCAAAACAATTACATTGCGTGAAAGAGATCAGGCAAAGAAAGAGGACATACTGAATAATGACATATGAAATTTTAGAAAATGCAAACTAACCTACAGTGACAGAAAGCAGATGAATGGATGCCCAGAGATGGAGCAAGGACGGGGGTGGGAGGAAGGGAGAAATTACAAAGGCACATAAGGAAACTTTTATAGGACCCGTGTTCATCATCTTGACTACAATGTCGGTTGCGTGGGTATATACATATGTTGAAACTCATCAAATTGCACACTTCAAATATATACAGCTTACTGGATTTCAGTTATATCTCAATGAAGCTGTTAAAAACCCACAGGACTTAACATACAATGATAGAGCAGGATTTATAGAGAATATACAAACATGATCCAATACTACTGGGATTTTGACCTGCCTTGCTTACTACTCTATCTCCTTTGCCTCTATCAGTGCCTGATATTGTAGGTGCTCAATAAGCATTTATAAATAAATAGCTCTCCTCCCACCAAAACAATATACACACAGGGGCAGAGGTCAAGGCTAATTTGTGGTGATTAAAATAAAAAAATTGGAGGCATAAGAAAGTTCTTTGAGTCACAATTCTGCTTATTATTTCTAAGTATTCTTGTCACACATATCAAAAATTTATACAGATGTTAATTAAGGCTTACACTCTAAAACTTATGGTAAACCAATGAACATTCTTAGCTTTGCAGGATGGTTTTGCTAGTATATATGGCTTTATTCCAATTACCAAGATAAGAATGTATTTCTTTGCTATTCCTCACTGGCAATCCAAATCACATTTATATTACTTTCCACTACATTTATTTTAGTTTCTAAAATAAATGGAACCACTATTAGACTTACGTTCTCTGTTGTAAATTACTGTAGGCCCTACTTGGTGCACTTAAGCTTCCTGTTAAAATAGACTCAATCTATTCTACTGGTTTACAAAGCTTTTGAAGTAGCAGAAAATTTGGTCTGATGATCTGAATTTGATTTTTTTTTAAAAAATCACTTTGTTCCATAGCATTTAAAGGGAGCGTTTCAAGCCTTAAAAGATGTTATGAATCAGTTTTCGTAGCAACGGTGTACCAGGTGTTTCAATTACAAACGCTAATGTCTGCACTCACTGCATAGTGCACATTCTTACTGGCGGCTCACAGTCAGTATGCACTGCAGTAACACTTACGAGTCTGCAAAGGACAAGGTCTGCTCGAAGGTTCCAGGGGGCAGTATGTGTCCTAATTAGCCAACCTCAAAGAATACCAGAGGCCACGAGGACAACAGCATAAAAGTTTTAATTATGTCTTGTCTCCAGCAAAGCTCAAAGTACATTAACATTGGGTTGATAAGATTTCCAACAAATAATGGCTGTCCAGTAAGAGGTGGGCATGTGTACGTATCAAGTTGGACAGGATATATTGCTAACTATAAAAAAATGAGTGTAATAATCACATCTCATTATGGGTAAGCAACATTCCAGGTTATGCTAAGGAATTACTTTGTTAATTAGCGTCATTTATATGAAAAGGTAGCCACTATTACGAAAAGGAAACTAGGAAGATGGGAAAGTGAAGAAGGGAATAGGAGACAGGTGAGCTAATATTATATTATCATTATGTGCCAGGCACTTCATACACGCTGTTTCATGTGATACTCTTGACATTCCCATACAGGTAGGTGCCTCCACGTTGGAGAAGAGGAACTGACACTCAGAGGGGAAGTAATTCCTCCCAAGGTCACATCCCAAACAGCCGTGGAGCTCAATTTCCAGTCCAGGCCTGCTGACTCCAAAGTCAAGGTTCTCTCACCACTCTATGCACATTACCATTGAAAGAGTTTCACAGGAGAAGAGCACATAACATGCATGGTTCATTTTTGCTGAGGAGCACGTCAGCTGCAGCCTGCCACGGCAGAGTGAGCCGCTGTGGTTCGACTTACTTCAGGGAGGAATCCCCAACTCCAATGCAGCCTCGCAGGCTGAGCTTCCGCAGGAACCCACCGCATCTCTTTGAGATATTTTCCACCACTCGACCCTGGAATCGAGAAAGTTGGAAAGAAATGTTGTTTTCCATGCTGCTTATCTAACAGGACAATAACCTGAAATTTAGGAACTGAACATATTTTTCCAAGGGTGAGAGAAGATATTTTGGAACGTTCCTTCAGTACCCCACTTCTGTCCCTGATGCATGAAGGGGCTGCACACATTGAAAAGTGTTTTCAATTGAAACATTATTTTTTTAAAGCGAACTATGGTTTGAAAGCTGTAACTCTAAAATCAGGCCTCCTTGCCCAAGGCTCATAGCTACTTCACCGATCACAAGGCTTTCTGAGGTCAGCTGCAGAAACCCTGGGCTGCTGGGCAGAGATCTAACACAATGTTGCTTTAAAAAAAGAAATATGAGCCCTGGCTAGTGTGGCTCTGTGGACTGAGTGCTAGCCTGTGAACGAAAGGGTCACTGGTTCAATTCCTAGTCTGGGCACATGCCTGGGTTGCAGGCCAGGTCCCCAGAGCGGGGGGGCATGTGAGAGGCAACCACACACTGATGTTTCTCTCTCTTTCTCCCTCCCTTCCCCTCTATCTAAAAATAAATCAATAAAATCTTATTTTTAAAAATTCTATTTTAGCTAAACATGGTCACTCTAAAAGTTTAAAAATGGATCATAAAAGTTTCTCCTCATCCTCCATAGCAATCACCTATTTAAATACATTTGTTTTGAAGGAGGAAGTGTGGCTGATAACTGGCAAATAGAGGAGGAAAAAAGAAACTGAACATTGATGAAGCGCTTTCACTTTTCCAGACACCATTTTAACACTTCCTTGTATCTATTATGGCTCATTCAATACCCACTCCAACGTCCTGGACTACCACTTCACATTCAAGGAAAGGAACGTCATGTCTGGAATACAGCGGATCCTTCAGATGTCCCTCAGCATTAGCAGGCCCTGTGAGTAAAGGCCATGGGAAACTGCCAGAAGCCAATAGAGGCAGGACCGCCGATGGCCCACACACTTCCGGAATGTGTGTGGGTCACTCCACAAGGACCAGTGGAGGCACTTGCTGAAAACAAGGGAATCCAGGCTGCGTAGTTGAAGCAAGCAGTTATAAATTCCTACTGTGACCATGTGGCCAGTTCCGGAGCTCTAAAGACTATAATTGTCATGGGCATTTCCTTCCTATTTTGTTATAAATATGCGTGTTTGTGTATATATTAAGCAAATATATTTGTTTTCTTTCCTCTCTGGTTCCCTTCTCATGCAATATAAGATGTACTGACTTTACGTGATAGCATTTAAATTCTCTTCATTCTACATCATCGTATCTAAGATACAGGACGTCAAGGAGAAGAGTAAACATCCCGTAAGGGCTTTATTCCTCTTCTGAAGGAGGGGAGCGTTTTTAGTTGTACAATGGATGGTTGTATCACATTACGTGGAATTACGACCTTGTTACTGTCTTTAATATTTAGAGATTAAGTATGATTTAGGGAGATGCATATGGATTCCAGGTTGACAAGGAGTGATCTTGCAATGATCAATTTTATGTATTGACTTCGCCAAGTCGCAGGGTGCCCAGACATCTGGCCAAACACCATTCTGGGCGTATCTGGATGAGGTTAACATTTGAATCCGGAGACTGACAGCTCTCCCTCCCTAGCGTGGGTGGGCCCCTTCAAGCCCACTGAAGACCTGACTAGAACAAACAAGACTAAGATGGAACACCCCCTGCCTGCCTGACTGAGCTTGAACACTGGTCTTCTCCAGCCTTTGGACCTGCACTGAAGCATCAGCTCTTCTTGGGTCTCGAACCTGCCAGCTTTCAGACCGGAATTTTTACCATCAGCTCTGCTGGTTCACAGGCCTTCCGACTCGGACTAGACCTACACAGTGGCTCTCTGAGTCGCTAGCCTGCCAGCTGCAGATCTTGGGACTTCTCCGCCTTCATAGTCACATGACCCAATTCCTTATGATCTTTCTCTCTCTATATCTATATACACACATATCCTATGGGTTCTGTTTCTCTAGAAAATCCTGATTAATTCAGATTAAATCCATTACCTTCATTTTGCAAATAAAGAAGTTAAATAATGAAATTGCCATGGTTACACTTTCATGAGCTGCAGAGTTGAGGTTCTAACGGGTTTGTCCAGTTCTTCAGCCTGTGTACTCTGCTCAACTCCTACCTCCACAAGGAAGGAAACACTGAAAAGCATTGTTTTGCTTTGCTTTTAATACTATTATTCTTACTTTATAAAATAGTAATCTTGTCACTGAACTGTAAGCGCTAAGAATCAGTAGGACACACCAAACCACAGGACCACAGGACCAGGATTCACATGTAGTGTTGCCTGGCTAACATCTTAATTTAGTAGAACCTAAACTCTGATATTGCTAGTAGCTTTATTTATCCTTTCTTGAGTATTACCTAAGTTAATAATTAGTTTTTGAAACAAACTTCCAGACAATGATAAAACAAATTGCTGTCATTGGTGAAAAATGATTATGACTTGGAAATTCAAGATAAATACTGAAAAAAGAAAACAAGGCTCCACACCAATGTCTACAAATGGAGCACACAACGTATTTTTTTCCATTTCAATTCAGTCAAAATTATATAAGCTTTCTACTCTTCCTTTCTTTGAAGCAAAAGTTTTTGTACTGGAATAAAAAATTACATTCAGAATTTTCTGCTCCATTATTTCCAACTAATAAAAAAAATAAGCAAATCCTTTCCACATGAAAAATTCAAGTCAACGACTCTATTATGTATTAGATAGTACACTGTAGGTGTGCTTTTAAAATGAAGGGCTTTCGAGAAAAATGAGGCTTCAATGGAGGAACCCATTGAAGTTATGACTTTTAAATTAGCATACTACTCAGTTATTTCTCCTTTTTTGGCCTGCCAGGATCTTTAGTAACTGTGAAGACACAACAAAATGTCCAACTTTTAAAGGCATGGAAAATGCTTAAACATCAGGGAAACAACAAGCTATCAGGAAATGGTAACTCTAAAGGAAAGGCACAACCCCCACGTCCTCTGGCCGCTTTGTCCGGCCTTTCCTGGAGATGCCAGCCATGCAACCCGCTGCTAAGCCATCTAGCCTCTGGAGGAAGCTCATCAAACTCTGCGTGCCTCCGTCTCCTCAGCACAGTGCTCCTGAGACAGTCAAACGGATACATGTGAAGTGCAGAGAGTAAGTGCCCAGCAGAGAGCAGATATTATTAGTATATTCATCTTGATTCTCGGCACCTCCTCTCTTCTCTCGACACATCCATTAGTCACCGTTTTCATCCCAAAGACACGAACCTGAGACCATCAGTCTACCCGTGGAACGTTTCCAGGGGCGTGCCCAGGGAGTCCTGTTCGGACGCGGTGGGAGTCCCCCCCCACTTGGTTTATAGCCCCACCTGGCTCTGAGGTGCCAGCCCCCAGGGGGAACTAAGCAGCGTGGGCTAGACTGGAACCCTGCTTCGGGTTCCCACATGCCCTTCTTCACGGAGTTGGCGAAACAGGCACTGCCCTCCCCTTTCACAGACGTGCCCTTAGGTACCTCTGCAACGCGTTTACAGAGCTGCAGTCGGCCAAAAGTTTGAAATCAAATAATGCACAACATGGTGGTATTTACTTGAAACAGTGGTTTTAATATCTGCATTCAAAAGCTTTTCAAGTGCCTTCCAAAAAGGTGTATAGTTTGGAAAAATCATCAAAGGACCACTGAGGAGACAATAAGAACCACAGTAAGAGAAAAAAAATTCCTGAAAAATATTTTTAAAACAATGACTGTCCATTGGCCAACAGAAATCACTACATTTTGGGGAATCTAATGCCCTTCTCAGTATCACTAAGTAAAGACTGACTAAAAATCTAAAAATCAGTGTGAAGAGGGATTACGCGTCGGCACGTCTGGGTGGGGCACCACCACAATCACTGCTACCAAATCTGGAGACGGCGCCGGGGAGAGAGCCCCTGACTCAGGGACCACAGTCCAAGCCAGGGACTGGGACTTATCTTTCCCGGACAGGCCCTGAAGGTCCCCGACCCTCTTCCGAGCTCAGAGCGCCTGAGAGGAAACCCGCTGCGGGGACCCCGCACGCAGCCCCGCTCGCTGTAGGTGCTCTGCCCGCTGCTTTGGGTGCGACCGAGACGCTGCGGCAGCAAGTAGCCCAGAGGAGGAGGGGAAGTGCCTTCACGACTGGCCCTCGGTTCTTCCAGGTAACCCAGGAAAAGGGACTCAAAGGCAACCGGGCTCATTTCAGCGTTAAACACGTTCATTTTCTTAACCATTAAAAAGACACAAAACACACACTTGCAAAAACGCTGGATGAACATGCTATCTACATAACTGAATTAAAATGCATTTCCACCGCTGTAACTGAGTTGGCTAAACTAGAACAAGATTTTACTAACACTGGGTAGACAATAAACTTCAGAATCTCCAGATCCTTAAAACAGCACTCCAGACAATTATCATGGGCAATGTTCTCTGTTAATTCCCTCTTTTGGAGGGGGGGATTAGAAATTGGACTTAAATATTAAAGTTGTTTTAAAATAAACTTTTCTCACTTGGTCAGGTTTACCACTTTTAAGTGGAGATACACCTATTTCCAGGTAAATACACCAGAATCCTAGAACTATAAAAGGCTTTAAAGATTTTTTTATAGAAAATAACACTGAAGCACTGAGAAATTACTTGGCTTAAGTGGCCGAGCTAGAGGGACACCTCGGTGACACCTCCTGCCTCACTCCTGGGTCCCTGCTTCTGCCGCTTCTCCATTCTTGATGGTGAATTAGAATGCTGACTAGATCTTTCTGACAAATATTTGTCAATAGTCTGCTGCTACTAAAGCACGGAAGCAGGCGTTAGCGAGGCAGGTGTGAGGCTTCACAACGCTGAGGAGTAAAAGTCAGATTATAAACATGAACAAGGGGGGCAAGTCATCTGTTACTGACACAGAGCAAAGTAAAACACGAGCAGAATTTTGTCCCGATGTATGAAAATGCCTTCCAGGTTTCCTCCCTCTCCGTTCTACCGGGCCACCTTACTATTAAATCTAAATGCAGCAAAATAAAAAGGCGGGAAGGAATGAGCGCTGATCTTTTTAAAAAGTCTTTGTCTAAAACAAGGTTAACTTACCTCTACATCTGTCTGGAAGTTAAAAAGGTCTATTCTTTGCCAGTTGCTTCCATCCAGGGCTAGGACATTCCACGCCTGGGAGATGGGCAAAAAGGAGCAGGGGTTAGGGTGAAAGAGATGCATTTACTGAGGCCATTAAATAAAGTCTGATACAGCCTTTGTATTTGCAAACTTTTATTCTTGGTATACATTAAGTTGATCATCAAATATGGAATTATAACAACATTATTTTGTTAAATATAAAAAGACATTTTGATTTTTAACTGTTTACTTGAACTAAAATTCATCCTCATTCTAATAAAATTTGATATTTACTGATTAAAAATTTGGTTTATACCCTACCTTGGAAATCTGTGCACATCGGCACAAAGTTACTATATCCAAGAAGGAAAATATTCTAGGAAGAAAGGGGAAAAAAACACAAAACATGAGATGGCGTTGACATTTCAGGATATTTATAACCTGAAAGATGTCACCTCACGCTCCATCTGGATACATCATGAGTTTTTTTTTGTTCAAGACTTTTCACTTTGCAACACACAAGTGTGCTGTAATTTTACATGCCATTGTGAAATATTAAATGTTCGCACACTCCCAACATGTTCTGGACACACTACACACATCCCCTTAAAACAGAACTCATTAAACTTTTATTTCCTTTGTTCTAGGCATGGACAGGAGACAAACCATAACTTGTACTGTTCAAAGACCAAAGGCAATGTCCCAAGAAGTAAGCCTGGTGAGAGCCAAATTCTTCTCATCCTGGTGCCCCCAACACACAGCACAAGCCCCTCTTTGGGTGGCAGATGCTCTAAACAGGCTCAGGCGCCTGAGCCTCGCACAACATGGCCAAGAAGAGCTCGATGATAAACCCATTTGGGCAGAAAGGTGGAGCTCAAGGTGTCTAAGTGACCAGTTTTTTGTGAGCAAAAGCCAAGAAGCCGTAGAAGATGGGAAAGATGAGGAAAAAGAAAAGCAGACGGAAGCAAACAGAAAGCTTGGCTGACAGCAGTAATGCCCCCAGAGGAAGCAGGGGCTGTCACGGAGGGCGTCTGAGCCAGGCCCTGTCACTGGAGCCTTGGAGGAGATGAGTTGCTGACAACAGCAAAGTGACATGCCTCAGTCCTGTGTAGTCACAGCTGAAGACAGACAACATCTTTTCTGTGAGAAGACAGGCGGATGGGATGAGATCAGGGACAACAACAGGATCTGAATTCTTACGGTCCTGGAAGGTAAACGTGAGAGTCTGCCCTGTGCATGGAAGGAGGAGAAGCGGGAGACGGCAAACAGCCACCTGCAGGTTCTTAAAAATTCTTCAGAGTTAACCACAGTGGTGAGCTGAAAACCCACAGGCTCGGGGGGGAAAGTAATAAAAGAGCAGAGAGCTGCACCCTCTGATCACGCACGCGCAAGCAGCACGGCAGGGCTGCTGTTAGCAGACATGCTATTCTCTCAGAGAGGCTCTAATCATTTTCCAGTAAAAGGCAAAGGATAGGCACGTAACAGCTGCACTGGCCTTAAAAAACTCAAGAGAACTTTGTACACAGGAAAATGCTAGTGGCTGAAAATGTGTACTTAAATGTGTGTGTGTGTCTATGTACTTAAACACCTGCACTGCCTCTGTGGGAACTCACCTCAGCCCCCACCCTGCAAGCTCTCCTGCCTCATGTGTCCATGGTCTGTGCCCACGACCATTCCCCAAGGAGCCACAGCTTACCGGCAGCTCCCCAAAGGACCAAGGACCAGACAGAGAAACAAGTATGGTACAGCAGTCGCATTTCCTGTTGCATGCTGGGGTTGGGTTCTACAGTGCACGCTGGAGGTGAAAAGGAGTGAGCTAAGTTTTCCTTGAAAAGCCCTGATGAATGAACTGCACCTTGGAAACCACATACTCTATCATCTCTTGGTAGAATAACAATAACAACGGTTCACACTGATTATCTACTTCCTAAGTGTTAGCCATGGTTTATGTTAGTCATTTAATTGTCACAACAATGCTAGCTCCACTTTACAGAGGAGGACACTGAGCACAGAGGGGTTAAGTAACCCGCCCAGGCCACGCAGACAGCAAGAACGGAGCTGGGTTTGCACCCGGGGCAGTCTGGATGGAGGGCCTGAGCCCACGACCACTTTGCAAACCGCCCTGAAGTTCAGCGCAGCTGTCCCTCAGGATTGGACAAGATGCTATTTCTTCCACTGAGCAGGAGATGAGGTAGTCTGTGTGCAGTGAGCTTGCTGCATGAAAAACATGTATCTTTAAACGCTGGAATCACAGTAACTGAAACAAGATGCTCACACATTCAGACACATGTAAGAACCAACAGCTGGAACACAAGTTCACATTGCTTACTACCCTATTTTATGGTTACTGAATGAAAAAACAGATTGGCTTTAGTATTTACATTCTTTTCCCTCTCCCCAATGCCCTCATGATTCTATGTGGTTGAATGTGCACCCCAAACGGCCAACCTTCAGCCTGAGCCAAATTCCTGGATCATGTTTCAATGGATGCCCTGGCTGACAGAGCCTGGGACCCCGGCAAGACAAACAGAGATGGCAAGCGGAGTCAGAGGAGTGGGAGAGTGAATCCTGGCCCTTCCAAAACATTATTTTCGAGCAATAACTTCACCCTGAATCAGGAAAGCACCACAGTGGCCGCCGGGTTATCAGCGCACACACGCAGGGCTACGCAGAGAAGACGTGCTGCTGGACTCCGTGCTCTGCTCCACTGGTCTGTGCCCATTAGGCCCTTTGAACTGTGGTGCTTTGTAACAAGTGTTGACATCTGGTAATGTAAATCCTTTAACTGTGTTCTTCTTCATCAAGATTACCTTGGTTATTACTGGCTAGTCATGGTTCTCAGAATCTCCACTTGTGTTTTAGAAGTAGCCTATCCTTTTCCACAGGAAAACTTGATCCATTTTTTAATGGGATTTCACTGATTTATAAGAACTTGGAGAAGAATTGAGATCTTGACAATAGTAAGTCTCCCAATCCAGAAATGTACCAATAACTAACGACAAGAAAGGAAACCCACAGACCATTCTCTCTTGTGACTGTAAAGCAGAAATCCTAAACAACATATTAGTAGATCAAATCCAGTGGTATATAAAAAGATTTAACACATCATGGTCAATTCAAACACTGATTTAATGTTTTTAATCAATCAGTGTAATTCATATTAATAGAATTAAGGAACAAAATCTAGTCCTATCTCAAAAGATGAATTGTAGAGCAACTGTAAAAGATGTAACATACAAAGGGGGACCCCCCCCAAGAAAATGGAATTTATACAAAATTGTGCATTTATTCTTACATGTTTAAACTTCAGCGATCTTCAAACTACTCTGCATTTGATGCAATACACCTACTGAGACAATTTTTCCACTGCTCAGTTTTTGAAATGTCTTCAGTGTGATGCCTTTTAGTGCTTTTGCCTTTTTTTGTTTCACCTCTTCCACATTGGCAAAACACTTCCCCCTTGAGGACTTTTTTGATCCAGGGAAACAAAAAAAGTCACTTGGGGTGAATTCTGGTGAACAAGGAAGGTGGGGCATGGGGGTCATGCCGTTTTTGGCCAAAAACTGCTGAACACTCAGCGTGGTGTAGGCAGGTGCGCTCGTAAATCACCCATCATGATATGGGCAAAGGTGCTGAAAGAGTCTTCAAAAAAATTTCATGAAGCCGAAGGCAGCCTCTCACAACAATGCCAGCTGGTGCACTGATACAGATGGGTTCTAAGAATGCTCACCTGGTGGGGGAAGCCTACTACAAGGGGCCCGCCCTCCAGAAGATAATTCTGATTTTTTTGGGTCCCCCCTTGTACACCTAATGGCAAAACCAGAAGAAATATTTGAGGCAATAATGGCTGAGAAGATCTCACAAAAAAAGAATTGTAATTACACATTTCAATGGCTTTGTGGAGTAGTTTAATATCCCTGTATTCAGTTTTTTTTAAATAATGTTTTTGATTGCTGACACTATTACAGATGTCCCCATTTTCCCTGCCTTTGCCCCCTCCACCCAGCCCCCGCACAACAAACTATAGATCCAAAGGCTCAGAGAACTCTAATCATAATCAATAATGGATTGTAATTTACCTCTTTTTAAAATAACATCCTCATTTAGTCTGGTGTTAGGGTAATACTGGCCCCATTAAACTCCCTTTCATCTATTCTTAAACTTTTTCAGGGATAACTGTAATATAATAACGATAAAAAATGATTAAAAATTTTTTTTTCAGTCACTATATTCCTTGTCTAATTTCCTTCACACATACATTGCATCATCTAATCTCACCTTCTGGGTCTCTCTTAACCTTTTCTGTATTTCCATATTTTTATCTCTCTGTGCTGAATTATGTATAAATTTCCCATCTCTGTTTGCCAGTTCTCTCATTTCCTTTTCAGCTTCATCTAATAGATGTTTATCCCTTTACTGATCCTTATGGTGGATCATTTCCTTAGGTACCTTGCAATGGTTTATCATGACCTCATTTTCATCTGATCATTGATTGATGTGCAGTAAGCTCATGCATCTTGGTTTTTGAAATGTCCCTATAAAATGTTTTTACATTTGATTCTGACAAGTTCTCCCAAAGGTTTCATCTTTTTGGCATAAATTTTACATTAATTTCTAAGCTTGGAATCTTTAAATCTCGTATATATGAGATCAGATTTCGCAAGACTTTTTCGCCTTCGCCGAAAGCCCTAATCAGAAATGAATTTTTTGTTTTCTGGGTTTTTGGGGGGTTTTCTACAGGCCCATCTTACACGGTGAAGGGAACTTCCCAGGGTCTCCGCCTTATGCAGAGGTCACACTCAGGTCTCCGGCTTGTCCCTGCAAGGACTCACCTCCTTTCCCCAGGCCGCATTACTATCCCAGCCGCTGCGGGTTTGCTAACCGCTCCAGTTATGAGTCCTCTAAAGTTATTTCCTTCTTGAACTATGTATCTACTTTTTTGTTTTATCTTATTATAATCATTGTTTGCCCTTGTGTTTTCATGGCAGCCCGACGATAAGGTTACAGGATCCAGAAGTCAGGTGCTCCTTTTCTTTGAGGGCTCTACTGTCTTTGATGACAATTAACAGTATGGTATACAGAATGTTCTACAGTGTAGAACATCGACTATCCTTCACTTCCATTACTGTACCAAAAAACAGAACAAAACTACATGAGCTATTGTGCTGAAAAATCCGTTATATGCCTTATCTTTTATAGGTAGATATGTGAGGGGTTTCTGGCAGATTATAAGACTAATATTCTGCAAACAACTTTTTTTGACTGAAAAGCAGTAAGATACAGAAGGAAGAACAGGAGGTTTAAAATAAATAGGCCTTGGCTGAAGTCTCAGACCCACACAGGCCCTTCAAACTCCAGATACCATATTTTTAACAA